CTGCATTCGTGCTATCACGCATGGACTATTGCAATGCTCTTATGGTGGGTCTTCCAGCTACGCTCCGGATAAAATTCAAAAAGCACAGAATAATGCGGCTCGCGTTGTTCTACGAAAACGCAAATTAGACCATGCTAAAACACTTCTGAGAGAGTTGCATAGGCTGTTGGTCCGTGCTCGCATAGAGTACAAAATTGCAACTCTGTGCTTCCGCTGCTTGCATGACCTGGCACCGTCCTATCTCAAAGCGCTACTTACGCCTTATGTACCCACTAGACAACTCCGCTCATCTGATAGTGGCAGACTCTCAGTACCACGTGTTCGCCTTGAGACTTACGAGGGGCGCACTTTCGCATTTGCTGGCCCAACAATTTGGAACACTCTTCCTATCGCTATCAGAAACAGCCAGACAATGGAGTCTTTCAAAACTGATTTGAAGACTTATCTTTTTCGTAAACACCTGCTGGGGTGATGTTGTCTATCTAGCTATTTTCTATGTGGCCTTTGTTGTTTATGGTTGCAAAGTATGAAAGACTTAGAATGGGTATTCTTGTAAGTAGTTTTGTAATGTTGAATTGTGTACTTCAATGTGGTATGTACCGCGCTTCGAGCCTTTGTGGATGAAGCGTGATTTTTAAATAATCATTATTATTATTATTATTAAAATAATTCCACAGTATAACAATGACAATAACAAAAAACTGAAGGTCATCTATTTCAGAAATGTAACAACGTTAAGTTGTAGTAATTTTTTACATTATTTTTTATATAGTTTTCTACTGGTCTTCAAAGATGCAAACCTGTCAATCACTTGATCAAAATCAATGTCCATAGCCTTGAAAAATATCCGCTCAGATGCACAGATCGTAAAAAACAATTGAATGCTTGAATGCATGAGATTATAGGAAGTCCCATTTAGCTATGAATTTCAAAAGCTAAAATACTGACTAGTCCATGACTTTGTCAAATTCAATATTAGCTGCCTTTAAGTGTCCACTGAGCCTTGGTATTTCTTTTAACGTTCATCTTCTGATAACTCACCATAGAAAGAGGTTAATTTTGGAAAAGACACCAATAACTGTTCTTCACTCGCTGATAGACTATTGGGTTAAACAGCATCAAACAAATCTGTTACTTCCCTGGTCGCTGATGATCTGAGCTGGAGTTCAAAACACTACCGTTTTCTTCTCGCAGAAAGAGTACAGCAATTATTAATTATTCTCCTGCTATTTTCTTTTTAAACCTTATTTTAAAAGTGCCTTTTTTCAATAGCATATTGATTGATTGATTGGATATTTATATTGCGCCGGTATCCATGCCACTGTAACACGCTCACTGCGCTCTGGTCCTCCGAAATCTATTTAAACAAAAAAAAGTGTTGAATTGTTTCTTAAATGATTTTTTATCATTTACAATTCCCCTCAAAGATTGAGGCAAACTGTTCCATAATTTGGCGCTATCGCTTCAAAAGAGCGCACTCCGTAAGACTTTTTTTCTGTGTTCATCCACACAAGGATACATGTTTATAAATCAGTTCCTTGAGATATTCCGGTGCTGAGCCATCTATAGAGCTGTACGCCAGGGACAGAATTTTGTAGTTAATTCGCTCACTCACAGAAACCCAATGGAGATCTCGTAGAACTGGGGTGATGTGGTCAGATTTTTTCATCCGCGATACAATGCGTGCTGCAGTATTTTGTATCTTTTGGAGTCTCTGAATTTGGTTTTGAGGTAAACCCCACTAACAACTAATACATTAATCTAATCTTGACTGGATTGGAGTTACTGCTACAGCATTGGCTGTTCTATTGAGTTGAGGACGCAGCTGACCCAGGGCACGCAGATGACGGAAGCATGCCTTGACAACAGAACTGATATGGGGAATCATGCTAAGTTTACTGTCAATATAAAAGCCAAAGTTTGTGCAGAAACAATCTTAAGGCTTTTGTCAAGAGTAAAGCCTTTAGTCTGCAGATGCTGCAGTTTAAGATTATAGGAAATGAGTAAAACAAAGTAAGGTCAAACCTGAAAAAAGGAACGCGTCGACAGGAAGCCTTCGTCAGTGAGCAAACAACAGAAAAAAACAGAATGATTTTTTTTTACAGGTTTGACCTTACGTTGTCTTTCTCATTTCCTATTTTTCTAATCTGATTGCAGTCTCCCCCTTATAATAAACCTGTGTAAGATTATCTTCCTCATCATAGACCTTGTGCTGTACCTCTTGTATCCTAATTTTCAAAGACGATCATAAAGAGCTTCAATCGCCGCCACACATTCATCAAACTTATCTTTCACTGTTTTAACAGCAACATGATGAGCATTCCAACAGTCTATTCACCAATTTTCCAATGTGTTCAATGAAAACATTCCATCGATGAGTGGATGCAGCAAAGAAGATAACTATTCTCTCAAGAGTAGCAAAAAATGTACATTAAGTTTTTCGGCAAACGTGTGTCACTTTCAAAAGTGGCGTTGAATCATGGTAAAAACTGTGGTTTTCTGACCTAATTAAAGTGCGCATCATTTCTGGCGCATCAACCTTGAACTTTTAAGAATGCACGCATTTGGATAGATTACATGTGTGGAAACTTTACGTGTGATCGGTTATCCTTTTATGGTATTTGGTGAGACCAAGCAGTGAGTGCTGGGGAAATATGCAATATTTCACTTTGGCGTCACCCCCTGAGATGGTGTCACCCGGTGCGGTACGCATCACCCGCACCCCCAGCTACGCCACTGATCTTGTTACCTTGCTCAAAACACTCTAGCTATGCCTCTGCTTGACATCCTTTATGATTCAACATCTTTGAGGACATTTTTACCAAATTTCATGCAAGACTGATGGTAATTTATTCCATATTTTCAAGAAGACATTTCACGTGTTTCAGGCAACTTTCATTTTCTCCCATCCATAGAAGCGGAAATGTACATAGCCATATAATTCCTGACACGAGTGCGAGGGAAGTCATTTTACCTTTAAAATTTAACTTTCTGGTAAGATTAGAACACATTCAAACCATGATAGGAAATAATGTAAAACAGCTGGAAAAAAAACATATGAGGCAACCAAAGGAAGCAGTATCAGGCAACAGGGTGAACAACATGAGGCAGCTTATGGTGCATTTGTGCTTTTCTTTTCTTTAAGTTGAAGAAATTATTTTATTGATTTACCTTCATAAAAAAATAATAATAATTAACGTCTATTTCGATATTCACCAGTGTCATGTTATTCTTGGTGTGTTATAAATTATTTTTAAAGGTCCTAATAATGCATCATCCATTGATGACACAAAGACAAAAATGTGGAAATGAGCAATAATTAAGTGAACTAATAAGAGATGCATTTATTGTTTAAATAAATGGAAATTTTGTTTTGTTTACATTGCACCTATTATCAGCCTTGAAAGTCTTTTGAGTAGTTGTTGTTCCCCCCAAGCATGGAGGGAACCATTGTGTTGCCAGTTGTCAAGATTTTTTAAGGTATTAGTTGAATCATTTTGTGGTGAGATAAACAGTGAGTTATGCATGCTCCAGTGTATGTTAGCATAGTCTCTTTATGCTTACAGTATTCTCTGCTGTTTTCAACAACGTGCATAAGCATAATGCTGCATTAGAATTATTCAAAACACAAAAAAAAATTTAAAAATTGCAGGACATCAAAACAAAAGTATAAAGAAAATGATTTTTTTTTAAATCTTCGAAATGTAAAGAAGATTATCACTGACAAAGTTTATCTTATAATTATTTTAATCATTGCATATGTAATTTAAAAATGAGTAAATAAAATAAGAACAAGACTGCATATATAAAGATCAATAAAATAATTATTGTCATTTAAAGAATCTGTTAAGTTCTAATGAAGATTTATGCATTTTAAAAAAATTACCCCACCCTCCCTCCCAAAAATAAAGTCTAATACCCGGTACAAATAAATCATATACATTTTTTTTAAAATAATGTTTAATTTAGTGCTAAAAGTAATATTTGACAATATATATATATAAGAATGATCTAAGTTATCCAAATAACACTAAAAACGAATAGATTCAATTATGTTCAGATTCTTAAAAACAATGATAGGGATTTTCTATTATTTTACGGAAATCGAATAAATTTAAATATGTTAAAAATAAAATATATCTGCTATATTTAAATATGTCTTTAAGTATTATTATTATTATAAATTAAAAATACATGTAATATAACGATTAAATAACTATTTTAAGTTTTTTATCTTAATTTGAAAGTTAAGATATTCTTTTTTTATCAATAAATGATCTTCTAAGTATTAATATTATTATTTCAAAATCACATTTATTGTGAAAACCCAAACAGTTGTTGCTTTTTTAAAGTGAGTAGTTAATGTTGAGAAAATAAATTCAAATTTATCTTCATTTCCAAAATGACTTCTTCTGTAATTATAATGAGACTTCATCATTTGACATTTATTGATATTATCATTATGAATTAATATTGTAAATTTAAAAGAAATCAGATTGAATTTTATGATTATACAACGTAGGAATGTGAATGTATTCGGTATATTATGAGGGGCATTCTATTTTTACCACAACTTAATTTAAGAGTGAAAAATGGTTACATGTACATTTTTTATTTTAGTATTAGGATTATAATAATTACTATTATTAGAGTGCCATATTTAGTAGACACGTGCAAATCTAAAAATCAACATAGTTACATTGTGAATAATAAAACAGGCTTACGACCGGTGAAAGAACCCATAGTTAACCTCAGGTATTATATTTAAAGGGTTATTCTATAAAAACCATTTTTTTTAATCGAAATTTTAATTTCACTCTGATTTTTACAGTACAAGAGCATGGAAATTATATATGGCTATATAAATATATATAAATATATATAAATATATATAAATATATATAAATATATATAAATATATATAAATATATATATTCATATATATATATATATATATATATGGACGTATTTATTTATTTATATATATATTTATGTATATAGTTAGATGGGGGCTAATGGGGGTGGTACACTTTAAAAAACATTCTAGGTACATGAGTGACTTAGCTTCCGTCATAGTAAAATCTTAAAATATTAAAAAAATACAGACTTGCAAGATACAGGAAAATACAGGATAATTTAAAATAAAATTGTGAACTTTTAATTTTGCAATTTCATGTTTTTACATCCAAGGATGAAAAAAAAATAATTTTGGACACACATTAAAAAAAAAATATTTTCATCACATTAAAAATAGATACAAATCTTTTTAAAAATATACAAGCATTGAAATATTTTTAAAAATATAATGTAATAAATTGGGTGGTAAAACTGGAGTGGGACATTATAATGTTTGCTTAGTTTAGGGGAGTGGAAAAAGTGTGCTGTAGCAACATAGGGGTGGTTTTATTAATGTTTATTTGTGTAAGGGGATGGGGATGTGATTTTTAGATTTGGCCCCAGACAGCACAAATTGGGCAGTACAGTTGGCTGGGTGCCGAAGACAGCACAAATTACGTCACAATATAGCTCTGTGTATTTTATATAAGTACAGTTATATCTCAAAGACTTTGACAAACAGTGGGTACATTTACATAAATATACCCAGACCTCAAAAAAGTTGGGAAATGGAAAATAGAGGATGCCATTTTCGTTGCAACTAAAACATCTAGATTTTCCAAAGATACAATTCATCAAGAGTGAGGATAAAGGGTGGGCAAATATGTATGAGGATAAGCCATATGTTCATGTTAAACAATGTCTTGTAAATATTTCTTGAAAATACATATTAATTGCGAAAGAAAAGAGAGTGGGAACATTTTTATGTAATGAAAATATCTCAGTCATTTTACACACATGAAAATTTAATCTTAAAAGAAGAGGCATATCTTTTTTCCTCGATAGTTTAAGGGTGTGAACAAATATGGCTTAAAATTTCCTTTCAAGATATGAAAATATATTTTTGTTTCCATTTTGTGCAAATAAAGTTCAAGAAAAGGTGGGTGTACATTTTTATGACATTAATTATAATTCTTTTTTAAAAAACTCACGGCTGTTACAAATGTAAAAATTAGTTAAGGTATTCTTCACTTCTTAAAATTTTTTTGTTTTATGATTTCCCGATAATGTAGTAGAGAAGCTTTCGTTCATCTTTAAATGAAGATACCAATATATCCAATTCTGTTAATGTTACAGATAATTAAAATAATATTTAAATGTGTTGTTTAAATTAGGACATGGTTTGTTGTTTGTTTTTTTGTTTTTTTTTTGTAAATTCAGGGTGTCCTGGAAATGGGAGGGTGGGCATATATTATAACATTTTTCTTTTTTACAATTAAAAACTTAAATAACATTTATCATGTTAAAGCTGATTTATTGGATCTAAGCAATTCTGGTGATTATGTTTTAAATCAGTGGTTCTTAGAATATTGAAAATATGAATTTCATCTAAAACCATCCTTGAATTCAAAAAGGTTGAGATACACTGTTGAAGACTATATTGCACATGCAGAGCATTTTGAAAATAGTTTTACTAAAAGACTCTTGAGGGTTTGAAATTTTCTAGTATAATTATCATTCAGTCAACCAGTCATACACAGAAAAAAATTAAGCATACATGTAGATAAACTTTTATCACAAGTACTGAGCAAGCATGTACAAAAATTTCCATCATTAATGTATATGGTTTTTATGGCTATAAGTATCACTGGTTAAAGGCATTTTTAAATTTCAAGGCAAAATAGGGTAAACTGAGTAAACAAGTGTAGGTATAAAACATAATATTCTTGAAAAATTGCTCCCAGACAATGCAAAATGCATTAATAAATGTGCATCACCAGTATTTCAAAATTTTGTTGTGTACATTTATATAAAGATAAAAAAAAATATTTGTATCATCCGCAAATATTGATTTTGTAAGACATATTTTACATCACTTTATTAGACTTGAACTATTAAGACATAACAAGAATAATTACATAAATACCTTGGCAATAACTTGCATAGTGTACAACATATAAGATTTTAAAACAAACTTTATGCCAATTTTTTGTGTGGCTCTTGTTAAGATGTAGATGCTGTGGTCTTGGCTTCATCTATGTATCTATCAACAACAGTCTCAAGGATATGTAGAGGCACACTCCCATTTGCCAAAATTAGATGATGAAACTCCTTTATATTGAATAGGTCCCCTGTTGATTATTTAATCATTAATCTTTATAAAATTAATTTTAAAAATGTATCTTAATCTCATCAGTATCTTATCTTAAAAAAGTAAATATTATGGACATATTTTTTCAGGACTAGGACAGCACAGAAATGTATGTTTAAAGTATATATATATACCTCAGACATTTTTAATTAACCATCATTTATTATTTGAATCAACTCCACTAGAGTCAGATTCATATCTTCTTCTTCTTTGCCTTTTCAAATTCGAGTGGAGCATAGTTCCATGAACAATTTCTTTCCAAGTCATTTCCTGTCTCTTACTATATTCTCTAACACTTTCCAACTCTTTAGATTCACATAATATTTATCAAATTATCCATATAATTTAAACAGAATCTATTTCATAAAATGTTACCTAATTGGGTCTCTGCTTTATGCCTCAGTTGCCAGATTTTGATTTCACCAACCTTGTAAGCACAAGCCTAAATAAAAGAGAAAAACCAAACCAAACTTCATAAGCTATGTTTTGCCTATATTAGTAGCAATATCACAAAAATGTATTATATTCTAATTTAAATCAATCTAAAATGAAATAATTATTCATATAATGTATTAGTTATAATAATGTGCCTAAGTTCTTGTAATTTAAGGGTTTTTTGAATAGTCCATACCTTTTTTTCTTTATTATTCAAAAGTTATACTTGCACAAATTATTGAGATATTCTTAAACCTTCCCACAGTTTTGCGTAAAATAAACTGGAAAAACTGATACATATTATGTTTTTGCATATTTCTTGACCCAAACAATCCTGTGTACAGTTATCAGTACTGTTTTAAGAAAATCATTTTTTAACAGATAAAAAAAGTAAAACTCAAGACTTGTTAGCAAAGTGAATTCTGAAAAAAAATGGTGCATGGAATGTTAGTAGGGACAAACAATTTCATAAAATGCTTCACCTGTCCAGGCCAGGTGATATATCTGTCAACCTCTCTAGCTGCCCCTTCCTCTGTTGACAAAGTATTCTCCAACATATAGTTAACAGCCATTTCCTTGGTCCAACTAGGAGATTTATTCAAAAGTAAAGGGTATTGAAATTGTTTAAAAACTTTTTGTGATGGAGCAAATCAATAATTCTATGCCAATACTTAAGTAAAAAAAATTAAAATTTAATATCTTTTATAAAACTATAAATTACTGACCCAAAAGCATGAATCCCAGTGTCCACAACCAACCTTGCAGCTCTAAAGATTTCATAATTATAACGCCCAATCCTGTTGAAGAAAATCATTTCTGTTCTAACAGCAGTTGAATGAAAAATTAAGTGTTTGCAAAATGTCTATTAAAAGTCAAATATTTATGTTTTGGTGAAAAGGGAAACTTAGTTATATTTTGGATAATCCAGGGTATAAATGAAAGAAAAAAAATTGAGCTAAAAATAAAAACGGTTGGGCTTACAATTCCATATTGTCCTGATACATGTTCAGCTCTTCTCCTAATCCTTCTGCATACAATCCCCAGCCCTTTGTTGTATGGGGAAAAATTCAAATAGAAATAAAATATGAAACTTCAAAATAAATTAAATGGACATTGCTTGATAAGATATGTGTTCCATAATAAGCCTATTTTGTTTAAAGCTCATGTTCCACCATTTGTATAAATTAATAGTATAATTAATGATTTAATTAACACAAAGATTCCAAATTATTGGGTTTACTATTAATAGCAATGAGCAAATTATAGATAAGTCAAATATGATGTCAATAAAGCAGAGTAAAACATTTCTAATTATGATTACTGCGGTCAGTATGCTTTAATTTTTAGAAATTACTTATAAAAAAAGAAAACAGTAAGTCTTGATTTATTTAATTTTGTTTAAATGCCTTTAAAAATATAAGCTATTTTTTATTTAACTATTTCATTAAATCACAACCTCAACATAAGCAGTTTTCAAAGGAAATTTTCCAGGAGCCAGATAATATTTACTGTCTTCTGCATATTTTCGTAACTCTGGCAAATGTTTGGAGCCCAAGATATATATACTCTGTGGAATATCAAATAATTTAATTTTTAGTAGACATTAATAATTTTATATATTAGATAAACAATAATTAAAATCCTTACTTTCAAATTTAATGTGCAAAAAATAAAACAGCTGATTGCCATATTCAAGCTTATTATGAGGTTCAACATACTTCTTAAAGTTACCCCACATCTTTCATCAGAGCCCTAATTGGTTTGAGATCGTAAATAAATGTTGCTTACTTGTAGATGATGACCGGGTTCGCCTTCATGTAAACTAAGAGCAGGCAGTTGAAAGGGAATGCTGTTTAAAATATTTTTTTAAAGTTAGAATAACAATGTTTCATTTTCAGTATTTCTCTATTCGAATTAGTTTGTGCATGGATTTAAATATAAGATATAATTACAGCATCTTCTTAATTAAATTCAGATTCAATCTAAAACACGGGTTTCAGGAGAGTAATTATAGAAACAATATTTAAAAATGATTAAAAAAAGATTATCCACTCTTATTCTTCCACCTACAGTTAACCTGTTGGCATAAATCTCTTTGCAATACAGTTTTAGATTAAATAGAAAATAACAGCAGCTTGAAATCATATTAAATTTTTTAAAAGTTTTCTTCATAGCAAAAAATGCTTGAGGATATAAAAAATTAGTGATTTTTAGCGCCTCTAACTGATGTCTCAAGTGTGTCTTAAGTTTGTAGAAAAATTATCCTTGTTCAACTGCTAGATCTGTTGTTTTTTTTTGTTTTTTTTTTTGTTTTGTTTTGTTGTTTTTTTAAAGAAAGATGTAGGAGTTCAGAAAGTTTGAAAATAATTTTAAAAAAACGAAATTCAAATTATTAGTAACCTCACAGGTCAACTTTTTTATCCGTTTTTTTTTTCTTTTTTTTTCTTCGATAAAGGAATGTTAATCAGGGAAGATAAAACAATATTAATAAATAAGAAAATAGCAGCATGCATAATACAAATGTAGAAATATAAATACCATGCAGAGTCTCACAGTTAAGTCATGAAGCTACAATGTCAAAATTTTCATTAATCATTAAATACAGGGTATTTACTTGAATTTTATGAATACACATGTAAAATTAATTAAAAATCAAAATAGCATCAGAAATATTAAAACTGTTTGAATTCTGCTGGAATCTGAAAAGCCAAGTGACTGGGGGAAAAGTTGTGATTATTAAATGAGAAAAAAAATTTTTAAATAGCTGGGGTGGGCGGCATTATCCTCCCATTATTACAATGGGTTAGCACTTTGTATGGACCTGCTCAACCATCAACAGGATGCAGTGAAACATGTGCTAAGGGAGAAATAGTTTGGTTTCCAATATGGGAGGTCATGTAATGAACACATTTTTTACCAATGGACTGAGTTTCAAAATCTAGTTTTAATTTTTTTTAAATTAACCTCAAAAATGATGTAAGTGAATCTTTTTTGGGAAATTTTGTGCAATTACAATAATAGCATTCCTTTATCTCCATCAACTTCTGTTGTCATTTTATAAACATAATTTTTTTTCATTTAAGTTTAAGCAGATTCTGATGCTGGGAAAAATGAATTCTTAGACAATCATTCAAGTTTATGACAGGACTACTGCATCCATTCCCAATAATCTTGGGCTTTCATTATGAAAAGGATGATGGCAGAACTTGAAATGGGAATCCAAGAGGTCATTTAACAAGCCTTGATTTAGCCGATAACACAGTTAATAGCAGATACAGAACACTGCACCAAAATATAAGCACTAACCTGGAACAGGAAGATGGTTAAGTAAACATGAGCATCAGTATGGACAAAATTAAAATTATTGTCTCTCATCATAAATGAGTAATTATTATAGCAGTCAGTGACAAGAATCTTAAAGATGTTGACAAGTTTACAACATTAGCAGCAATATCTTCAAAGCTTTGCCCACTTAGGTCAATGCAAATTAGATCCCACACAGGAAAGCTCCCCTTGTATGTCAGCACCATCATCTTAACTTCCATTCATGGCAGCTAGATATGGAAAATGAAAAAGAAATCAGCCAACACACATAATGCATTTCATCAAAGATGTCTGAGAAAGATATGGGGATCAGCTACAGTGATATATGGGGATCAGCTACAGTGATATATGGGGATCAGCTACAGTGATAACTTTAAAGAATGAAGAAGTCCAAAGCTGAAGCAGAACACAGAGACTGGAAACAATAGGTTACTCTGTGCAGACTGCAATTATACAGGGCACATCATGTGGCCATCACAACAGTGTAATTTTACAGGGCACATCACATGGCTACTAACAACACTGTAATTTTACAGAGCACATCATATGGCCACCATAACAGTATAATTTTACAGGGCACATCATATGGCTACAACAGTGTAATTTTACAGGGCCATCATATGGCTACTACCAACACTGTAATTTTACAGGGCCATCATATGGCTACTACCAACACTGTAATTTTACAGGGCCATCATATGGCTACTACCAACACTGTAATTTTACAGGGCACATCATATGGCTACAACAGTGTAGTTTTACAGGGCACATCATATGGCTACAACAGTGTAATTTTACAGGGCACATCATATGGCTACAACAGTGCAGTTTTACACGGCACATCATATGGCTACAACAGTGTAATTTTACAGGGCACATCATATGGCCACCACAACAGTGTAATTTTACAGAGCAAATCATATGGCCACCACAACAGTGTCGTTTTACAGGGCACATCACATGGCTACAACAGTGTAATTTTACAGGGCACATCACATGGCTACTACCAACACTGTAATTTTACAGAGCAAATCATATGGCCACCACAAGTGTAATCTTACAGAGCAAATAATATGGCCACCACAACAGTGTATAGCCAAGACCCCAATACACTAGATACCCCTAATGGGCTAGATTAAGCGGGTAAGACCTTGAAAGACTCATAGGGGGGGACATTTCCAAGGATCATGAAAAAGTTGAATATAAGCCTTGTGAACGCTGAAAATAAAGATGACATAGAAAGGTGGAAATCAATTCTTGCCCAATGTTTTGTTGCAATTTAGACGTAAGTGAAGCGCTCTAAAGTGGGCCAGCGTCTGTGGGTAAGAATAAGAAATGAAATTTGAAGAATGTGAAAAAAAAATTATTTTATTGGAACAAAGTACAGATATTTCCCAGTGGATGCCTTGTCGGAAAAGCTGAATCCTTTAATACCAACAAAATGTATTGAAACAAAAATTTGATTTTTATTTTGACTAGCATCTATTTTCACACATTTTCTTTCTCACATTTCTTCTGGACATAGATAAAGAAATCACTCTTACCAAGCTGCTAGATTGTGGGTATTAATACAGTAGCTTCCTTCCCTGGATCCATTTGGAGTTCCATTTAAATAAAAACCAGCAGGTACATTTTTCATGTAGTCAGGAACTGGTTTGATTCTGGAAATACATATGTTAATTAGTATTTATTTTAAAAACCTTGACATCCAAAATGATTTTTTCAACAATTATTTTTGTTAGGTTGTTTAATTTATAATAAAAAGCCTAAAGGCAAGAATCCAAGCTTTCTTCATATTATTTTTTAAATATATCTTAAAGATATTTTTACTCTTTTTTGTAAAAAAAACGCATTAGTGAGTTGCTGTCAAATATTTTTTTTAGCAGCTTTCATAAAGTCATTTTTAGAGCGATTTTAACATATAAAAGCGTTATTTATTTCTTATACTTACACCATGGGTATGTTAGGTAATCCATTAAACATGTGGGATAGCTTTGGTCGAATCTTATTGTAGCAAATATCTTTCACAAAGTCAAGAACTTCATCCTGGTCAAAGAATAATTTTTAAGGCTTTTTGAACAATGCACTACAAATATTTGCCATGAAGAAGTATGAACAGCACTATCTTTTGGATCAGTATAATTAAAACAGTCTTAATTTTTTATAGGAGAGTAAAATGAAAATCTGCTTATATTTTAATGAAGCGTCTTGACAATAAATATTTCTGATATTTATCTTTAAATAGCATAACTTTATAATAATTGATGACAATGTTTTTTACATAAAGCAAGTAAAACAATTACATGAAATAGTAGAACCAAGTATGTTAAACTTGAATTAATAGACAGGACAATAAGATTTGAATGTTTTGGCTTAGAGCCTTCTTCACCAAACAAGACAAATAGAAGTAAAACAAGTAACAGAGCACAGTAAAATACTTTAGAGGTCTCCTTTGTTGTAGGCAATCCTAATTCCAGCAACAATAAAGGAGATCTCTAAAATTTTTTTACTTTTTTATTTGTCTTGTTTGTTGAAGAAGGCTCTAGGCCGAAACATTCAAATCTTAACGTCCTATCTATTAATTCAAGCTTAACATACCTTGTTCTACTATTTCATTTACACAACTTAAGAATGCAGTCCATCAATTATTATCTTTTAAACAATTACACTTGTTTTGAAGAAATTATTCTGTCGCCTTTTTAAAGCAAGAAGAATTTCAGGAAAGGTTTGTCCAAGTTCCTCTTTACTAGCCAAAGTCAACATGAGTTTCCTTATACGTGCAACCTCTTTGATGCCAATATCATTTACTTGTTGAGGAGTCATTGGCATACTCAGGTGAAATTTCAGGCATTGTTGATACCACTCTGTCCCTAATGGCAGACAACTGATTCCTTCTTTAGGACGCAAATGCTGAAAATATTCCTTTTGGAGACCAAAAAAAGATTTCTTTTAAAGTAGAGTGTAATTTTTTAGGGATGCCTAAGAATATTCCATTTCTATTTGACTTATTGCTATCCGTCAGCTTTTCAAATTTGGCAGAAAAAAGAATGTCATGGAATAAGATATAGGGCCTATAGTTTTATACTTTAATAGGATACATTGTTTATACTTTTTTTTTTACCTCTTCCAAATAAATTTTCAAAGCTTTTATTGCCTGAAAAACTCCTGTTTTTATCAAGTCTTTAGCCTTTGTTCTAAAATTTTCACTTTAAAAAAAAAAGAAAAAAAAAAAGATTAAACAGTGTAGTGCTCAACAATTAAATGCAGCAATATAAATGTATATAATTTATATTAATAATAAACAAAATAAATGTTATTGGTATAAATGATAATAAATTTATTATTGTTCAAAGTCCAAGAAATACAACTCAATACATATTTCACAAACTTTTTAAAGAACTTGAACTGATTGAACTTTTGAGGAAATAATAATTTTTTTTTTAAATGGAAAAAAAAAAGAAGAAAATGATCACTTTTTAATGAACAGATCACAGTTCAGGCCTTTTCTACTTACAGCTTGTCTTTGGATATCCGAGGATGAACTCCAGTAAAGGGCTTTAAAAGCCCAAGCTCATCGATTGGTGTAGTGAAGTAAGCATCCAGCTGCTTGGGTACAATCCCCTAAAATGTGTCAATTAGTAAGCATTTACCACAAGACAGTCAAACTGGTGTATTAAACATTTTTTGCTCACAAATTAAAGTTTGGATCTGATTCTTTTAAACTTAAACCAACTCACCACAGAACTTAAGAACATCACAATACCACATTCAACACCCCGCTTTAAGGCAGTAATCACTTGCTCTATCTGGTAGAAAAAGAGTCAAAATTTACAGAGTATAATATAGGTTTTTAATCTGTCATTTTTTTTAAATTTATTATCATCCATCATGCATTCCCAAAATTCACATTCTACTTTGTGCCTAAAAGCAAGGTTAGATTGACATGAAAGTTCATCTATGTTTAGATAATTCAAACCTCCTTTCCTTACACCCGGCCTCCCTCCTCTCCCCCTAGCATAAAACTTGAAGTGAGTTTTGGAGTACCTAATTAATACCATATGTTTCTTATGCAGAAGAAGAAAAACATTAATTTATTAAATAATTATTGATTATCGTTTAATTTTTTCACTACAAAAAAAAAATGATAAACATAATTATATTTAATGATTTTGGAAAAAAAATTTAAAACAAAACAAAAAACCAAAAATTATTTGTAATCAAAACAGTTAATAGAAATCTGAGGATTAGCTGTAGGGCTGAGAAAAGTAATTATCAAAATTGAAAATAACACACATTTTTATATGGCACTTCAAAAGAAAAGGAAATGGGATCTTACATTCTTGAAATGTAAAAATGTGGATTCTGAAATTTTACAACATAAATTTAACTTTTAAAGGCTCAAATTAAATGGGAAAACTGCAGATTTTAAAATGATTAAGCCAGTTTTATTTTATTTTTGGCTAAATAATACCAAAGAAATAATTTGTAGTCTAAAAAATATTGCATTAATTTAAAAGTATTACAACATACCCTAAGAGGCAATTTCTCAAGTCTCCTGATGTACATGCTAAAGTCCTCTTCAGACTCAAATATCATGTATGATATTGTTAGATTACAGTCATTGTGGATACCTTCAATGTAGTTAACGGGCATCAGATAGCTAGAACAAATTAGTGACAGTAAAAAAAACTGTTAAAATGAACAATGTGCATTTAATTTGAAAAAAAAAATTATATCAATACCATAAGTTTAAAGAAGATATATTAGCCATTTCAACCCTTTAATATCATTAAATACATGTATCATTTATCATTTATTTAACTGTTTAACTTAAGACTTGATTGTTTGCCTTATATCAGAACATGTGTTTGTCTCATTAGATTAGAAGCTGATGACTCATTTAAATAATAGTAAATGATTAATGGCTCACCTTTTGTACTTCACTCCTTCTAGATAAAGTTTGAAATCATCTACAAGAAGGGCATGATTTAAAGCTGCTTCTTTACTGCACACTGCAGTATCAATTGATTCAGCTTTTTTCAAGAACTCTCTGATACAGTTCTTTAAAATTAGAATTAAAAATTCCTCTATAAAATTTTAGTGAGAAATACAAAATGTTTGTCATATGAAAGAAAGACCATTGACATTATAGAATATGTTTTGTCCCAACTGTTACATTATTCTCTTTTTTTTTTTTTAAGTAATTGGATTGCAGCATGGCAAATTAATTTGGATATAATGATTTCATCATCATAATGATTCAGATCCAGGAGGCTATGTGCCATTCAGCCTGCGCCCTTGGGGAAGAATATAAACACTTTCAGCAGCTGTTCTTCGTTTGTATATAGGGCGTTGGTGTAGTCTGGTATTTTTGGATTAAAATTTTGGTGTAAGTCCTGAAATGCTGGGCAGTGGAAGAGGTGATGTATTACTGTTTCATTTGGATGTCTGCAGATGGGGCACATCGGTGTTTTATCTGGCTTTATGCGGTTAAGGTGGGAACTAAGTTCTATGTGTCTTGTGCCAGGTGAAAGATTATGACCTCTTCGTGTCTTTGGGGGCAGTTTATAGGATCTTTACTGCCTGGGCTGGGCATGTGTCAAAACACATCTTCGTTTTGAGCCAATAGCACATCAATTTAACCACTCTTTTTTTTGTTAGCTCTCATAGTCTGCTTCACAGTGTTGAGTGATGTAGGTGTGTTTGGATGTTCATTGGAAGCTTCCTGTTTTGATAGTTCTTCTGCTCCTTCATTTTCAGGTACATTATGGCATCCTGGTGTCCATTGTGGGGTTAGCTAGACTGCAAAGGTTTCAAGGAAGGTGTTTATTTTCAGAATTAATGATTTTACTGTTGTTTTTAGATCTTGATGCTAGCTGCCTGAATAATTGATTTGCAGTCAGAAAAGGAAACCACATTTCTTTGTTTGCTGGCATGAACTGTGAAGATTGCCGGATAGGTGGTGTAACGCTGCTTCAACAGCAGTCACTTGTGCTTCATAATTACTGCAGATTGCCACCACAGGGGTTGCAGAGTTTGTTACATGATCAGTGTAAGTACTCATTTGTACACCTTAAGCTGAATGTAGGGCTCCTTTAAAAGCTGACCAATTAGGGTATATTTGGATTATATCCTCTGGGTATGATGCTATGTTTGTTTTTTTTGCAGCTATCATTGTTTGTAATGTGTCTGTACTTTTCTATTTTTTGGATTAGGTCTGTTTTGATATAAGCCATTTGTAAATGTTGGTTAGGGGATAGGTCATGAACTGTATGATTTGCAAGTCTTCTCTGTCTGTTGTTAGTTGGTGACTCTCTTCAATTTCAGTATTGATTTCCGTTTTATTCTGTGGTTTGGTTTCCATTTTTCAATCATTTGGATGTTGCTTGTCTAGCAAAACAATGATTTAAATACATAATATTGTTTTGTTGTTGGTGGGTTTTTTGTTGTTGTTTCTTCTTAAAAAAGGAAAAAGCTATAAATGATTTTGAAATTAAAATAAATATCAGTTTCCTTAAGACAAAGAATAATAAGAGGCTCGACTCTTCACAGTGTAAACAAGGTAATATGAAGAACAAAGTAGATTGAGGGGAAAACAAACTGAAAAATCAAAAGTCGTTCGTCTGCAAACAGAAAAAAACAAATAAAAGAAAGGTTTAAAAAAAGTAGAGATAAAATGAAAATGGAAGATATAATCATAGGAGAAAGTTCAAAATTCAAAGCTACTAAGTCAGAGAAGCAACCAGAAAATTTAAATAAGAATTATGATATAGGGCAGTGTTGTCCAAAACCTCGCCCATGGGTCCAATGGAGCCTGGAAACTGTTTTTAAAAAAACCTGCCAGAGCATAAGACATTTTTATGTTGTGTCTAAAAAATGTTATATTTTAGGGTGAAAATATTTTCAAACTAAATTCATTGATTCAGTATTGTTGGGAAATTGTTTGAAAGCACAGGTGAAGATGTAACATTGAAAACAGGGGAGATCACAAAGACTAAAGAGTGGGATGGCTTGACAGGTAGCAGTAATTTATGTGAAGCACATCAGCAAAGCAATCATGCGGAAACATGTGATAATGTGAAATAATATACTATCTTCTCCTTTCTGTTGCTTGTACAGTGAATTGTGTATAATTACTAACTGAGTTGGGAAAGATGAATAGGGAAACCAAAAGTAACTTGATGTGTAGCTATTTGGTCCTTATAAAATTTTCCATGCCCTCACCATTGGAACCATGTAAGATGAAATAGATAGGTGAGCACCGCAAGTTAACCACTGCACTTTGTAGGATGATAATAATATGACAGGAAAGTCTTCGGTCAGAGAAATCCAGATGGGAGCTGGGGTACTAAATATGTCACAAATGACTATGGTGGGCAGAGTGCCATGTTCTTTCAGTAGATAGTCTAGCCAGGTATGGGAGAGTGTGTGTCTATCCTGCATTGTTGTGACATTAAGGACAACTACCTAGTATTCAGAGATCTGAGTATGAGATTTTAAATGAGTAGAAAATGTGTTTGTTTGTAGTTACTGTAATTCAGTCAGGAAGGAATTGTGAAGGAATTGTGAGAGATAGTGCGAACGATTCTTTGAGAGTTTTTTTTAATTTGCAAACATAATGTGTCATTAAATGAATTCTGGATGTTATACGTTTCCTCTCATGAATGTCCACAGCTGTGGAGATGTTGTAACAAAGTTTGACCATATTCTTTTTGGAAGCACCTACGTCAGTGACGCTGGACACTCTGCCATGACCAACCACATCTTATGATAAAGAAACTTTCCTAGCTAGGTGTAAATTTAAATATTCATGCAAACTTTTTAACAAATCGCTCACAATATGTCAAGGTAAATGACCAATAATCTCTAACCAGAGAAATAAGCACTGTGGCGTTACAAGGCTGTGTTCTCTCCCCTGTACTGTATACAATATATACCAAGGATATTCAGAGCTCGAGCGACACCGTTCCAATCTTAAAATTTGCTGATGATGGCTAATATCTGGGGGGGGGGGGGGGGGGGGGGTACGCTTTAACTGCAACTTAATTACAAGCTTTATCAGTTGGTGCTATGAAAATTTTCTCCAGCTGAATCATCAAAAGTGAAATTCTCAAAAACAAAGGAAATGGTTTTTGATTTCAGGAGGGGGAAACACCAGATTACATATCTCAAACATAAAAAATCAAAGTATAGATAAAGTAGAGGCATGTAAGTAGGTGTCACCATTAATAATAAGCTAATATGGCATGAGAACGGTCAAATGCTGTATAAGAAATTCAACCAAAGACTGATCTACCTCAAAAAACTGTACAACTTTGGCGTAAACAAACAAGTCATTAACTTATTCTACAGTGCAACAATTGGAAGCCTACTTAATTTCAATATTACCTGCTGGTGTGGGAATTCATCGTCTGATATTAAAAGCCTAATAAACAGACTAATCAAGAAAGCAAGGAACATAACACAAACTAAACATCCTTAACTGGAAGAACTATTTGAAGAAAGATGTTATTATAAAACTAAACAAATTTTTGATGATACATAACACCCTCTTCATCACAGATACTTAGGATCTGCCCATTCAGGATGAATTCTTTCTCTCAGGGCGAGGACTGAAAGATATACAAATTCTTTTGTTCCCCAAACGGTACAAATTTACCAGCATTTTCCCCATGAAGTCACAAGTCTTAATGAGAATTAATAAGTCCCTGATATGGCTAAGAGAATTCACTAAATGGCTGTTTTAACACTAGTAAAATAATTTAATGTAGATGTCTTGTGTTCAAATTGTTTTATTTATGGGCTGAATATGTACAATGCAATCAAAAAAAAATTCCATTTTTTAGGATCCATAAAAGAATCTGATGTTATCTTATCTTATCAAGTCCAAAAAATGCAATGCTTTGAATGGTGACCATTTAGAAAACAAATGAGGCCAGGTACTACTGAAACTACTGCAAAGTAAGAAAGGTGAAAGTAAAATTCAAAGCAAAATCTCTCAATAAAGAAGCGCTTCAGTTTTTATTCCTTTATTCTTTATTTATATTCTTGATGAGCCGTTAATCGTATTGGAGATATGATTATTTATGCATAAGTATAAGGTAAGAAGTATTAATAATGTGCATAATTACTATAATAAAATCTTTCTTTGAAATATATGCAGCCCTAGGCTTCGCTGAAAACATGCTTGGCCTACAGAGTAAAAAAAGGATGGACAGGGGAACAGAAAAATATAATTCTTATTTTTTTTTGCTACAGAAAAATTATCTCAAAATGAAGGTGTTAATTTTGAAAAAGTATATATTTTATAAAAATCTTAACTTCTCACCTCTCTCCTTAGATAAGCTTCCTCACTAATGTCATCCCATCTGTCATCATATGCATGAAAACCACAGAAAGAGGCTAGTTCAGGACTCTCTCTGAGTTTCCATTGCCAGACCTCATTATAAAGAGAATGCACTTCAGCATCAGCAATCTCCATCTTCCTTTACTATAAATATAAACCTGAATCTGAAATAATGTAACATTCACCTTTTTTAAATATCACTTATTCAGTATCAGCAGATGTATTCATGAATTCAGAGCTAACTGTATTTTTAATAATGGTTCACTACTATCTTTCATCTGCTATCCATGATTTTGGAGAGTGAAAAAATAAATTGTCGGGGTTATTATTGATTAATCAGATTTTTAACAATAATTTATTCATATCCACATTATTTAATTATTATCATTATTTCATTATCTTTTTTTTATTTACTAAGTAGGGTAATGGAAGGCATTAAGGACCATGTTTTCAAGAACTTTTTGCTTTCTCTTTGAAATAAATAAATATTATTAAATTCAAACTGAAAGTCTTTTTAAATAACAGACCACACATCTTTCTTGCAGTACAAAAGCTTTAATGAGCAAAATTTAAAGCCATATAGTAAAAAAAAAACGTTAAAAAGTTAAAACTAATTATGACTTAAATTTAACAAAATGGGGGCAATTAGCTCCAGCATGTTCAATGCCTATATTTTCACATAGGTTGTAGGCAATTCTGACAGATCCATTCCATGGCTTCAATACCAGCTTTTTCTGGGATTTCATTAGTCTATCAAAACTATATTTTAAAAAATTTTTAAACCTATTTCTACAAATAAATAACTTTTGTTTTCAATTTAAACTGTGTCTGTGTAATGTTACATGAATTAAAACATGGATTTTATTAATCAGATCAATATTATTTGGTTGTTTTAATTATCTGTTTAACAGTCGGGGGTGTTAAGCCCCTGCTATTTAAAATATTCATTTTTATAAACTAATTAAATAAATAAATAATCTACAGAACCATATCTCTTTTACAAATGCTTCCTATTCAAAAAATTAAAAGGAACTTTAGTATTAAAGTGAATTTTATAGCTTTTTACAAACAATCTCTAAATCATTCATCCAAATGCCATTTTACTTTGCAAAAACGACCAGCTTCATTTGCTCTACAAATATCAGTATTTTAACTAATTCAAATTCATTGCATACACATATAGTTAAAAACTAAAGAAAAGTACTTGCTGAGTTTAGTTGTACTTGTTTTTGTATGTAAACTAAAAAACTTTCACTGAAGAAATAAAATTTCAAGTAAAAATAAACAAGCACCCTCTTAGCTGAAGTTTTACAAATGGTTTGAATTTGAAGAAAGCTGAAAACAGGAGGGGGAAAGCACTTGTCTAAAAAGACAGATTAAAAATCAATCCCATAGGTTAGAAACGCAAGAATGGTTGTGAAAAGTTATCTGATTGGTTAGTAAGTTTCTACCAAGTACAGCTTAATCCCCTTCTCTCTTCTTACAATAATATCAAGCATTTTATTGTATGAAATAACTGAGCAATTAGGGCTTAAACCCCATGGAGCCAATTACCTCCCTTTACCCCAATAATTAACAGTACGGGTAACAATTAGTTTCAGTTAGGGTAATTATTACTTACTTTAGAAACTTTTAATCTTATTTCATACTTAATTCAACTACCTTATTCATTAAAAAAAACTAATACTACTACTAGTGGGTATCTATAACTATAGGGCCTATTAGTTACTTTTGTCTTACGCCTACAGTCTACAGTTTACAGTTAGCCTACAGTATATCACTATTTAGACTACTCAGACTTAGTTACTTACTTTACTAGTATAAATTATAAGTAGGCCTATTAATTATGCCTATGCCTATGGCCTATAATAATATATATAGGCCTCACTACTACTACTAGCCTAGTGCCCTATGGCCTACTTACTACTTACGTAACAAAACCTTACCCTTACCAACTTGCCTGGCAATGCAATGATTATCATTATAATTATAATATGGCCTATTTATTGAATAATATTAGTTTAGCGGCATAGGCCTAGGCCTAAGCTTTCCAGCCTATAATGCCTATAATTTATAATTTTAGTCTAACTTACAAAATAAATAAGTTACTAAGTCTAAGTCAGACTAAGTTCACAAAGTAATTAGCTAAAATAAAATATTAATAATTTAATAATAAGTAAAATTTGACTAGTCTCCTATTTACTAACTACTCTAAAAGTAAAATGACTAATTATTGACATTGTGATTGTTATTTTAAGTTATTGTTTTGTGGGCTGGGTATCGCCATTAGACATCGGGTATTGTGTATATATTAATATTTAGTAAATCTTTGCACTTATAACTGCTCATTACTTAATTTATATAAAATATACACTGTGTATTTTCTGAAATGGGATTAAAATGTCCTGCTTTGAATGAAAGATCTGGCAAACATTAAAAACGAACCCTTATAAAAATATTAAATATATGGTTGTTGGTCCGTCTTTTTATATTAACTTTCACTTTTGATACTATTTTTTTTTTTTCCATTTTTTTTTTAATCACTCGTTTGTAAAGGAAACTTTTTAAAATAAAAAGTCATTTTTATGGCCAATATTTATTGGTCTTAACATAAAAAAAATAATTACTTTTGTGTAAACTGAGAGTGTGTTTGCATATTATATTTGATATAGAACCCCCTTGTTGGATCACAAAAAATGGTTTAAGTAGGTGACATTTTTGTTGTTTTTTTATAATAAAAATCAATTTTAAATACAAAAGTAGGAAGTATGTAGTAATATACTTAAATATACTATATTTAGGAAATCTTTTTGCAATGCAAGATCATTGTAAAGTGGAGAGGGAAGGGAGAAGGTGTGGGTAAGGAGAAGAATGTATGGAGATAGGGTGTCAGGGTGATGTGGTGGAGCAAGAATGGTTAAAACATAAGAGCTGGAGAGTAGTAGGGTTTAGAGGAGGTTGGAGTTAGAGGGAATGGGCGAATTGACAGGTAGGGGTTAAGATGGGTATTGAGTTTGAGGAGGAAGGAGCTGTGGTAGGGGAGAGAGGGTGTGGTGGTTGTTGTGGAGGGGTGTGAAAGGAGGTTGTCTGCATTTAGTAATTTTTTGTTATTACAAATTACATATTAATTTTCAGCACATACAGTACATAAATTATAAATATTCTTAGAAACTTTAGAAAGACAAACATATTTAATCTAGAACAATTTAACACAAGACATCTATTAATATTTTAGTATATTTTTAGCGCAAAAATCAAAGTCGTATGCCATGGAACTTCACTCAATTAGTGAGAATGTTGACTTTAAATAGGTATTTTTTAGATTTTTTTAACAGCTGTGGGAGCACGCTGGTAAATTCTTATGGATTGGGGGGGAGGGGGGGAAAGGAATTTTTACATTCTTCCAGCCTTTACCTTGAGGGAAAGAATTCACCCCTAATTTGTTTCACATATCCATCCGGTCAGATAATAAAAGGTTTACATTCAATAAATAAGGTAACTAGACAATAACTTTGGAACATTTTATTATTTGGTTTATAGTTCATAAGATTACATGAAATACAAACATTTTGACAACTCTTTAAGTTAAAATAAATAGAATTTCAAATATCACATTTATATTTTAAACATAAACAAGTAAAAGTAAAATTAAGTTGAAATTAGGACATTATTGTCAGACATGAGTTTTGGTGGTTGATGCTCGATTTTAAAACCCTGAAAATTTGGACAAGCTAGTTACACTGTGTAGAAAAGCAGAGAACCTGCTCAATACATGGGAGAGGAAAATCCTCAGGAAAATATATGGCCCAGAGATAGACAATGATGTTTGGACAATCCGTACAAACCAAGAGCTATATCAATTGTATTAAGACCCACCCATAGTCGCAACAATAAAAAAGGCAAACTGTGCTGGACAGGACATATTGTAAGGATGCCGGATTGTAAAGCAGCAAAAGTGATATACAGGCAGAAACCTAGGGACAGACGCTCACAGGTCTAACAAGACTGAAACTGAGATGGATCAACGATGTAAAGAAGAACCTACTCCAGTTAGGGGTTCACTAATGGAGGCAGAAAGACATGGATCGATCCAAATGGAGCGATTTGGAGGAGTAGGCCAGGGCCCTACATGGGCTGTAGCGCCTCTGATGATAGTTACAACTGAAGCACAGATTAAAATGGTCATGTTTTGACTGGCCACTACATTATCTGTGGACAAAGTCAGTTGTGCGAGTTACTTTCTTTATTTAAGTATAGAAAACATTTCCATTTGTTTGGATCAATAAAAGAATGTTATCTTAATGATACAAACCCATGAACAAATTAAAGGGGGAAAAAATGAAATTCTATCATTTCCTTATGCAGCATTATCATAAGTAATTTTAATAAAATATATTAAACTTGGTACACTTTTGAGATAAAGCTGTTCAGCAGGGCAGACTCTAAGGTGTTTTCTTGAGCTTTACCAGCACATTACATTGGGACAGCAAGTTTTCTGAATTCAAAATAATTTTTAAGTCTCATTTCTTAATTACATAACTTTAAATTTCAATTACTATACAGAATGACAATTTATTTGATTTCTTAAAATGACTGATTTATAACAAGTTAATTTTTAAGGCAACAATAGCTTTCTCATTTCTGACTGAGGAAATCAAATTTAAATTCAATGCAATCAATCATTAAATAATGCATTTGGATACAATTTTATCTTGCATAAATCAAATGCAATTTGGTGTATTTAATTTATCATTATTTTAATTAAAATTATAATTCCTTAATTTACTTTTTAAAAGAAATATTTACAAATTGTTAAGTATCTCTTTGTTCTCACTGTAATAATAATAAATTCCCTTTTAAAAGAACACACACATAAGTCATCATTAAATTTTAAAACAGCATTTTTTATCTCAAGAAGCCGAAGCTGAATTCTCTGATTTAAGGTTTACAAGTATCCAAGTATTTGACAGTCTTCAAATACTTCAATAGTAAGTTTTGATTTGTACAACTAAATTAAGACAGCCTATTTTTGTAACCTTTCACAGATTTTAATTACATTGTGGGTGTACGGAAAATATTTCAGCAACGTTCACCTTGTACTTATATTAAAAAAAGCTTTTTAAAAAATCACCTCTTTAAGAATATCTTTTGTCCTCAGATGCATGCTTAAATAGAGGTGAACATAAAGAATCAAAAGCAGTTTCAAATTCAGCCTCGGAAAATCGAGACAATGAATTTCTGGCATTTTCTCGTATTGCTAATCTTTCAGATGGGGACATGTTAAAAATGGTTTGAATGGCATTAGCAAAGGAATCAACATCAGAGGCGAGAAATCCAGTGGGCTGGTCATTATGTTTGATCACTATGTCCAACTTGGGTCCTCCTGAATCATGAGCTAACATCAGGGTACCAGCAGCCATTCCTTCCACCACACCTGAAAAGTTACAGAAACAAGATTAGTAGAAGTATGGTACATTTAAAAGTTATCTATGAATACTTTTGTGTACAATGCAGTTAGTTCTTCTAATGTTCACATATTTATTGATGAATATGAAAGCTCTAGTTTACTAGTAATCAAATTCAACTTAATATGATGATGATTGAGTACTTTTATAGCGATTGTGTCCATTTTATTTTAGCATGTTCACAGCACTCTGATGTCCCAAAATCTATTTAAAGAAAAAAGTCTTTATATGTTTCTTACATGACTTTTCATCATTCTCAATTTCCCTCAAAGATTTAGGCAAACTGTTCCACAATTTAGGCGCAATAGCTTATACCTATTGAGGCTATACTATAAGGTTAGTTCAAGCAAATATTATTTGGAGAGTTAAAATCAATAATTCTAATTTTTTTAATGATAACAAAAAAATTACATTAGTAGTGGTTAACAAAGTTATTATAAATTAATTAAGAACTTATCACCAAGATGCAATATAAACTTTACAATAAACTGCTGCAGTGTGGATATTGTATTCCAAAACTTTGATGTGCATTTAAAAAATCATGTCACTTATTATACACAGAAGTATTAAAATGAATTCTTCCACAAATCACACGTAGTCATTAAATCATAAGCCCTTGAACTTTGATAGTCTGGGGATCTCCCTTTTCATTAAATAAAATCTTGTGAACAACTAAAATGTTGGAAGTCCTTTCTATTATCAGTTATTTCAATTCATGACAATTTATCAAAGATCCACATTTCAAAAAACTCTCCCTATGATTCTTCAGATCCTATTATTAGAAGCCTTTATACAAACTGTATTAGAAATGATAGAGAATTGTATTTACTTACATATGCCAAAATGTTCATTCCACATGGTGTGTATGCTGACTAGAGATTTTTCCAACAACTGCTTCAGTTCTGTAAAAGAAATGTTGAGCCGAAACTCCACATTCTCTTCAAGGTCAAGTTCTCTTGCAAGATCCTGTAAGCTTTTCACTCTGCCTTCATCTTCTTCATTTCTGCAACTGCCAGCTAAAACAAGTTTGAACTGTGTCCTGTCTTTTTCATTCACACTCATCAAAAACTTGTGAAAAGCTCTTATTTGGAGAGGGTGGTCTTTTTCAGGACGAAACTGGCCCAGTGACAAAACTTGTTTTGGCTTATTTTCATCGCTAACCAGCGGTAATTTCATAAATTCAGAAATATCACACGGGGGATAAACAATGTGGATTTTGGATGGCACTTTCCACAAAGTTAAAATGTGATTATAAGTCCATGTTGAATTGACCATTACTACGCTTGACCTTTTGCCTGCAACTCCATATAGGTATGCAAAAAGTCTATAATAGACTACTTTAAGCCCGCTCAAAATGGGACTTCTGGAAATAAAGGAAGCATTGTTATGTGCTGCTATACGCTGGGAAACTCTGCTTAACATATCTGTGGATATGGTTGGGTAGTGAACATAGCAAGCAACTGGACATCCACCAAGAAATTTGAAAAGAGGCAAAGTAAAAGCATATCCCATGGTATCAATGTAAATGTCTGGCACAAAAGCAAATAGAGCTTCACAGCCTAGTAGCACAGAGCCAATACTCTGTCCCAAAAGTGTAAAATAGGGATATTTAACAGCTTCCACCCAGCTTCGATAATTCAAATAAACAAACTCCACTTGTCCGGGCAGAACAATGTTAAATCTTTGCCGGGCTTTGTCTAAGATTTCCACTGCTGTAGAGTCTGTGTCCCCAGTATAAATCACACATTGTACATCTGGATATCTGTTGGAGGGGTTTGGGGAAGAGAATAAACAAGAAGCAAATTATTATTTTTCTTTAAATTTACAGTTTTGATTCAACATGTAAAATAGAATAATTTATATGAAGTGTTAAAAAGCAATAGTCATTCCCCTTGCCAAAGATGGAAAGCATGGGTATCTGCCAGCCAGCCACTGTCCAATTTCCCTAACATCCTGTGTGATGAAAGTGGCTAATGGTAAATGCATGACTCTCCTATTTTTTTTAAACAAGAACAAGTGCTTAACACCGACGCAAGGTGGGCTCTGCAAGAGCCGCCAACCCATGAACCACGTCACATGTTTGATTCAGTCAATGACTAATGAGAAATCACACTGTCACTGTGTTTTTCAATCTCCAACAGACATATGACAAAGTTTGGCGCACAGGCCTTATGTATAAATTATCTGGGGATCTCTGGTAATTTATACCAATGGGAAGAGGAATTTCTTAAGAATCAAACATTGCCACATAGTTTGACAATAGCTTGTCGAATCAAATTGTCCTAGAGGATGCACCTCCGCAGGAGTCCACCCTCAGCTGTACCTTATTCCTCGCCTATGTCTATGACCTACAGGGGGAGTTGGAGTCCCAAAATGCCATGTTCCCTGGTGATTTAGCCATTTGGAGCTCATATAAGGATGTCCAACAATTGCAGATCCAGCTGCAGGGAGACCTAGACAGAATAGTAGCTTATACAAATAGGTGGAAAATGGTCATCGATTTGGACAAGACAGTTCACTCCATATTCACTAATGAGCGGAATACACTAAAGCACAAGATCAAGGTGTTCATCTGCAGAAAGGCACTAAAATGGGATCAGACACCAGTGTATTTGGGGGGTGAAGCTGGACCAGAAGCTCATGTTACATAACCACATACTTGAACTATACCTGAAATAAGTCTCGCTCTGGCCAATACTGCCATCACAAAAGCTAATTCCCAAATAGAACTAAGGTAGGAAGCGCTAAGAAAGACTGAAGGCTACCCGAACTGCATGGTCAAAGGATTCACAGACTGCTCATGCTTTGCCAGGGAAAATCAAAGTGGCTATGGGGCACTTGTTCAATACCCAAATGAGATATCTCCACCCGAGGAGTCATCAGGGTCCACTGGAAAGAGCAGAACCAGCTTCGACGCATAACTAGAAGCAATACTGAGAGAGTATTTCAACGCCAAGCGAGGAGAAAAAGCTTCTCCGACATTGTAGTCTTCACCAACTCACGATCTGCTCTCGAGAAAGTGAGGGAAGGGGCTCGATGGAGACTGCAATGTACTATGCCATTCTGGAGACAGTAGGAGGCACCCATGCCAAAGGCAGTTAAGTCTGTTAGCAGTTCATCCCTGGCTGAAAGACCACTTCTGAGAGGACTGGCTCAGCAGCTGGGCTGCGGCTGAGCTGGGCGGCAGGAAATACAGGGCGCCAGCTTTACCGGAAAATGTCACAACCAAGCAAAAGTAATCTGTGGTGGAAACTCAGAAGACAAGAGCAGATGAGAATAGGCCACTGCACGACGCGCAGTTATCTCCCCTGATCAGATACTAGAAGTGATCCATATTGCCGATTATGTGGCCAGGCAGACGAAATAGGGGACCACCTGGTGGTCGGCTGCTCCAGAAACAGAAGGATTGCAGAGGGTATGGACGCATGCAGACACCTGTTTTGAAAATTTGATTTACGATGATGTCCACCAGATAAGGCATGCCACCATAACTGCCCTGGGCTATAAGAGTCTAGACTCAGCCCGCAATAGAGTATGTAACAATATGAGGTGTTAACTATTTTCTTGCCATATTTAAACAGTACATAACAGATAATCAGAATTTATTATAATGCATTTATTTGACAAGAAAAAATATTAAATGCTCACTTTTCATATCCTTGTTAATAGCTTTCTTTTTTGTAAATATTAATAATATTACAAATGATGCTGATAAAATAAAGCTTAAACTATTACCTTTTTTGAATGGCTCGAACAGCCACCCAAAGCACCCGCTCTCCTCCACCACCTGCATTACAGTAGGGATGGAAAAATGCAAAAGACACTTTTTTTTTTCCATTTATGTCATAGAACTTTTTTGATTTTTTCTTTAGCCAGACCCGCAGGAAGAAAAAAACAAAAGTGAATAAGACGATGAATAGCACCCCAGAAATGATCATCATGCTGGCAATAGTTGAAAGCTTGCTGTGAAAAAAAATAATCACAAAATTAGACCTAATGGATTTGAAATTTAAATCTTTCAAAAAATAATAATATGGTAATAATAATGCCATATAGCCATTTCATTTATCTTTTTAATAACATGTCTATAAACTTCTTAAATCTTAAGAAAGTTTAGGCTGTAGGTAGATATGGTTTGCACAACCAAGACTGGCATTAAAAACCTTATGGCGATACGGATAAACCTACATTTATTTTAAGCTAGGCCCTATTTATTTAAAATTAAATTCATTAAGCCCAAGCCTACTAATTTACACCTTATTCTCAAGCCTTCTGCTTCTCATTGATCCATTCACACTGGGTGAGTGAAGTTACAAAGAGAGCAGTTGTGTGACTTTAGAAGGCCTCCTCAACTTTTTGGTTGTGTGTACCATGCATTCAAATGTAAAGTTTACAGTTAAAATTGTTTTCCACATCACAACTTAGGGCCCCTTTAATTTTAATATCTGCAACTGCAGATTGCAGGACCATGCAACAGCTCTGGTTACACTGTACAATATTCAAGACTTTTAGCCTTTATTTTAATATTTAGACCTATTAATATCATGAATGCTATTATTGGTTTCATCAGGGACACTAGCTAGGCTAGGCTACTAGGCATACATTAGTAATCAGGCCTAATAACAGTATTAGACTATAGTCTATAGTATTATTATAATACATAGATAGTTGTATAGTAATAGTATAGTATAACATAGGGTTGGGCATGATAGGGCCTAAGCCTAACAGTAACAGGGTAACCCAAAATTCTAATAAATTAATAATTAAAAGCAAAGGCCTAAACTTAGTTTCAATTTCTCATTCTGGACAGCAGTCTGATAAATCTGCTTTAACTTTAAGACAATTTAAGTTTAAGTTAAAATTTAAGTTAAGTACCATACTGTCCCTACGCCACATCGCACACACTTTTAATTTTCGAAGTGGTTATAGGGACCCCCATCCCAGAAGTGAGGTTGGGATTAAAAAAATATTTAAATTATTATTGTTGGGTTGTATTGTAAGAACAAATTTGGTATCAAATGAAAGATAATTGAAGGGTTCGATTATTGAATGGACTATATTAAATTATATATTTGTAAACTTACTTCTTCAGTTTAACTAAAATAAACTACCACAACTACAAACGGTACAACTACAATATTTTTAATATTTTTTTAACCCTCTGGAGACGTAAGGGCCGATCTATCGGCCCGAGGTACACTAGCAAGAAAGACGTCAAGTCCGAGCCGTCGGCCTGATAGATCGAGCCTCACGATTGGCTGGCTTGGCGTTGTACCAGCGAATCAAAATTATTTACACGTATTCCTGCACATCCCGGCATTGTAATGGCAGCGTTCGTTGAAGGTGAACTCAATTTATTTGTTTGCAGGAATTTTTGTGTGTGTGTGTAGTTACATCGTGAATTTCGAACATGTCTGACAGTGACTCTGATCAAACTGTGCTTAGTAATTTTGATATTCTAGCAGTGAATTTGACACTGAAACTGCTGAAAACAACCAGGGAATTAATGAAGACTTTCAAATTGAGGGTAATGCTAATGTTGTGAACTCTTGGTTTAGTATTACTAGTATTAGGGGTCCTCAAATGGACAGAGATGACCCCTCTGAATTTTTAGACAACATAAGTCCTATAAATAAGTCATAAGCACCCCATTTGAGTATTTTATGCTATTTTTTACACTAAATATCACTCAATTGTTAATGAGAGAGACCAATTGATATGCAGACACATTTGGCAGTAACATTCAGCTTAAGAGAAGGTTCCTAGGTCATAAATGGGGGCCTGTTACAGTGTGTCTGTAACAACTGAAAAATAGGGGGTGGGGGTGGGAAAGGAGTAGAACCATGTGCCAGAGGTGTCTGAAGGGCCTTCATGGGCCCTTTTCCCCCCAAAAATAAGTATTAGGACTTATTCAGGCTTCATCCATCAAAAAATTCACACAATTGATACAAGTAAGTCATGTTTGTTCTAGGTGTAACAAAAAATTACACGCATAAATTATGCAAATAAGGTACCTCATTTGCATAAATTTTGATATGTCAGTTTGATTCATAAAGATTGTATTAGTTCATTCAATTTCCTACAAGAATATATATAGTTTTACATATAAATATATTAAGGGAATAGTTTATTTTTTATAAATTTTTTTGCAATGCGAGTCTCGAGCTCGTAAAAATTGCTCCGTCTTTTTGGCACATACACCCCGAAAAGGCTCCGTCTCCAGAGGGTTAATAAACTATAAACCCAAGGCCAAACTCTCACGTCTGATACCCGGTCCCAATTCTGTCCGAATAACCTTTCAATAGCCGCAGCCTTTGATTTTAATTCAGTAAGACTACACTTCAATTTTAAACTAATTATTGCTAAAACTACAATACAACTTTTAGTAATAGAAAGAATCAGAGAGAGTAGCCAAAGATCAGGATAAATTAAAAACAACAAAAATCATAAATAAAATGTAAACACTGTAACTAACTGAACTGGCACTTGTACTAGTACTAATACTAATGAGTAAGCACAAAAAAAGTGCATTTAATACAAAAAGATAAAAAGCACTGCTTCAATCACTTTGAAATAGTATTCAACTAGTATATTAAGTATTAAAAAGTAATCTCTAAACATCACTACCTAGAATACTGCCTAAAAAATTCAAGCGTCATTTTCGTGAAACGTGTCGGTCGGAAAACAACAGATTTTTTTTTTTTGGCCGGCACTACGTACACCGCGGCGGTGTACCTAGCGAAACTATTGACTTTGGCCTGCGTACACTGCGGCGGTGTACCTAGCTAAATCATGGTCTGTGGCCTGCGTACATCGCACCAATTTAAGTAGCCAAACCATGGTCTTTGCGAGTCTTTAACTTTTTGGCATAACCGGTTCTTGTAGATTTAATGTTATACTCTTGTTAAAACTGAAAACTATTTAAAATTCGTTTAGTACCTTGGGAAGATATTGAGTAAGTTCCACGCTTATGTGGCAAAGTACTTGTAAAGCATTTCTTATTATTTATTGGAAGGGAGGGGGCTGGGCTGTAATGTTAAACCATGATTTATTTTTAAATTTAACCCCTTTATCCCCCACCCCCACCCCCCCACCCCCCAATTTACTGAAATACAAATATATTTATTAATTGTTGTAAGTTTTATCCTATGACTGTGAATCTTAATAGGCATAAAAAGGGTAGCTAATTTGAAATTCTTCTCTCCCCCCACTTGTTTTTGTTTTTTTTGGGGGGTGGGGGATTATATTTATAACATTGTATGTGATCCCTCGGGGCGTGGTGTAAAAATGAATGGGAAGCCAGTAAATCTATTTTGTTAGCACCAATATATAATTACGCCACAAATACACTACAGGAAGAGAATTACATAGTCATACATTGATCATGAAGTCGTGAAGTTAAAGTTGTCCGAGGCATTGTCATTGTGATACCAAGCGTGTGTCAACACAAAACAACAGTATGATGATAAAGACGAAACACTGCAGTGATTTTTAAAAGTCTTTTAACAATAATTAAATATCGTTGATCTAGTTTTACATTGGCATTACACATTAGTAAAAAATGCCGGTGGATGGGGGGGGGGTGCAAAAGATAAGTTTGTTGTGCGGACGTCCTTTGTGGACAACCCCTATCCAGAGCCGTGATTTGTGTAGGCCCCCTTTTTGGTTAAGCCTCCGCCCATAACTCACCTCCACCCCCACCCCCCCCCCCCCTGCAAGGATCGATTTCTTAACAAAAAGAAACAAATACAAAAACTTTGACATAGCGCAAATCCTGCCGGCCAAGCCCATTGTGCAATGGTCCCTTTTTGGTTAAGCCCCCCCCCATAACTCACCTCCCCCCCCCCCCCCCCCCCCCCTGCAAGGATCGATTTCTTAACAAAAAGAAACAAATACAAAAACTTTGACATAGCGCAAATCCTGCCGGCCAAGCCCATTGTGCAATGGTTTCTGTGAGAAAACTTCGTGTTTTACCCTAAGAATAGCACATGTCATGCCATTCTGGAAACAAATTCTGTCATGAAAAGGGTAAACGCAGACCTATGGCTTTGCTATACAGTTTGCTACCGTTCCGTAAGTTTCTAAACTCGAGGTGTTTTCTAAAGATTTGCTGTGAGATTGAGTGTTGTGAATGAACCGTTGATATCGTGTGTACATTTTGCCAATGCATAGTGAAAGCAAGATGGCTGAATGTAAATATTCAACTACACGAAGAATGTTGAATAAAATAGAATATCACTTAGTATTCAAAATGTTTCTCTTATACATGTTACATACACTATACGTGCGCTTTCAGAAACTTTCAGTTTGTTTTCTAATCATGTCTTATTAATAAATGTATCTTAGGGGTTCGGCAGAGGTCCCAAAAAAATCAGGAAAAAAATCATATTTTATTTTTCCTATTAGGTCTAAGAAGGGTTCAATGAATGTGCATATGAAACTGGTGGGGTTCGGTACCTCCAAAAAGGTTAAGAACCACTGATATGTATAGTTTTAAAATATCTTACAGAATTATATTTAAACTATTAAACTCGGAATAAACACACATTTAAGTGTTTTGAAAGGGTACACTTGTTAATATCTCATTGTAACCCATATTTTAAAACAAAAATCTTTTTTTCTTTTAAATATGAATGTAATAAATGAATTAGTCTAATAATAATAATTCATGAATGTAATTAATGTAAATGTAATGCCTGGATGGGTACTGACACTGCTTCGCGGAAAACGAGAAAATCCCCCTTCCGAGACCAGTTAATTTTAATAAAATAATTCGTGGGGAAAGAAGTAACGGGTGTTTACCAATATTATTAGATCATTATTAGAATTAGTAGCCTATATATGGTAACTTTAAATATGTGTCAAGCAAGTTATAGATTATAGGCCTGCACATTTATTAAGCAATTAATGTCAAATGTGTCCCAGTGACGTAGCTAGGCAGGGTTGGTGCCGCCGGGGGCGGGTCAATATTTATGCCCCCCCCCCCACTTCCACAAAAAAATTCTGCAGTTGTTCGAAAATGGCGCCCCTCCATGTAATTTCAAGAAAAAGTGTCTCTCGGGGCGGACGAATCTCTCCGCTCCCCCCTTCATACTCCTTCTGTTATTTTAAATATGGCCGTCCATACAGTGCGTCACGCTATTTTTGACAATTTTTACCCCTCTCCTTGTATTTGTATCAATCTGTCACAAATTTACCCCCCCCCCAAAGTAGCCTACACATACTTCAAAAATAAAAAGCATATTTTACAAATTAACAACTAAATTCAGTATAAAACACACTTCGCTGTTATCAAAAGTATAGCTACATCAAGACACCTTCTTTCGGAATACTGTTCTGTATAACTATAATACTAATACATCAAGCCATTTTTTCAAGCACTAAACATTAAACATCACTGTCAGTTTGAGCTTTAATATGTATGAGTAAAAAAAAATATTTTTTTTTTGCTGCCCTCACGAATACTTCTTCTCGTGCTATTTTTTAAATATTTTTTTATTTCATTATTTTTTTTACTTCGCTGACGAAGGCTTCCTGCCGACACGTTCATTGTTATGTTGCGTTCCTTTTTTTTCTGGTTTGACCATTCTTTGTTTTACTTATTTCCTAGTTTGCTAACCTGCTTGTAGTCTCTCCCCTTATTACTATAAAAAATATATATAAATGTGTAACGTCACATATATCCCCCCCCCCCCCCCCCCCCCCCCCCCCAATCCTCCCCGTGACACAAACTGTCGCACTTTCTTAGAGCCCTCAACCTCCCGAGCGTGACGTACTTTATGGACGACCCAATACAATTTACAGAACTTTACATCATCCACCACCATCACCAAGGGGCATGACCTAGTTTTTTCAAAAATACCAAAATATGTTCAAAAGCTATAATTAGAAGCTTACTGTACAGTGGGCATGGAAAAGGTTTACCGTATGTTACACCACTCTTGCAATTCTGAAACCTATTTAAACGCAGTCCAGTATCTGTTTTATCATTATGAATTTAATTCTACTGGAGTTATAAATTATACAAAATAGGCTGAACATGTATCATTTTAAAACAGTCTAAATGGAACGGTGACCGCGCGTACTCTACTTTTCAGACCAACGTTTGCAAAACAGAAAACAGCTGCTGGGATGTAGCTACTCTTCCGCTATTACAAAAATGTTGTTAAAAATGATAGGCTCACGAAAAAAACAGATTTTACGACAGGATCACAGGCTAAAATTAACAAAATGTGAAGATTGAAAGTATGAGTATGAGCTAAAATCAATATTTTTCCTTTTTAAACGCCACACACGCATCTTTGGATTAGTAATCTTCATTGGTTCATCTTTAATTTTCTTTTAAAATAATTCAAGTTCAATTTTCAATATTCAAAATGACATCCCTTAATGGTTCGTTATTAAAGGAGGTGCATAGGCTGCGTCGAGATATTAAAAAACTTACTGTTGATCAGGCGCAATTTGAAGATTTTGAAACTGACTGTGATGAATGGGGCATAACTTTCAATGTTTTAATTAGCCCAAATGATGGTCATTATAGAGGAGCTACATTCAGATTCAAGGTATGATCTGAAATTAGGTTATGTATTTAAAATATAATATATAAATAAATAAAGCTATTTGACTATTTGTAAAAATGAAGTAAATTTTCAATTTTTTCATGATTCATTTGTCCTAAAAAATATATAATTTTTAAATACCTGGTAAATAGTTAAATTTGAATATTTTTTCAAATATATTTTTTTAACTTTCATAAATGTTTCATCAAAAGTCAATAAATGATAAATGCATATTTATTTACCCATATATAGCAGTTTTGGGACCACACATATATATCTTTGTATATAATGAATGTTATTTTTTATTTCATAGTTTGAGATACCTGCAAACTATCCTGAGAAGTCCCCATATATTCGATGCCTCAACAACATTTATCACCCAAACATTGACTTTGGAGAGGACGGTACAGTTTGTGTGAACCTGCTAGACAAAGACTGGCAGCCTGGTGTGGGTCTTGATGGATGTGTTATGGCTGTTTTGTTTCTATTTTATGAGCCAAACCTTGAGGATGCCCTGAACCCTGTATTTGATGGCCAGCTCATGAATGAAGACGAGTTTCACAGCAAAATTAGAGCCTCTCTCAGAGGCGAGGAAGTAGAAGGATTTGTATTTGACAAATTGTTAAATGAGGAAAGTGTGTGTTTGACTAAAGGAAAAGATGTAAAACTTATTGATTTTGAGGACATACAAAGTGAAGAGAGTGCTGTAAAAAGAGAGAAAGTAACAAATGCTGAAAATTTGACAATTATCAACATGAAAGCTGATGGTGTTACTGATGAGCAAGATGAAAGTGTACAAATTGTGACAATTCAAAATGTCTTAAATAAGAAAATTATTTCCAATGGGGAACATGAAAATGTTTTAAATGTAAATAGTGATTGTGTTTCAAATGTTACAGTGGAAATCTTTTCGACTGATGTAAAGAATACACATCCAAGTAGTCATGTAGATGAAATAAATAAATGTGAGACTGACAAAGATGGAGCAGAAAGTGGTTTATGTGCAATGCCTGTTGGCCTCATTAAAGCAAATAGAAAATATTTTGGGTCTAACATGAGTGGGTGGAATGACGCTGCTCTTATGTTTGAACATATATATAGATGGATTAAACTGTATATAGTACGTTTTTATAATAAGGTAATAAGCAATATGTGATATAGAAAATGTTAAAATGGCATGCGATCGAATTAAAATTATACACTTTTTAGTTATTACATGAAACCCATCATTGGTCTAAAGATTTAACATGATACTTTGACAGATTTGGAGACTATAGACGGGCTGAGAAATTTGGCTGAGAAGTCCAGAACCAATGCAAGTACGGGCTCGAATATATATTAAAAAAATGGTGATGACTGTCTATCAACTGTGCCTGATCAATAACTTAATTATTTTTTATAGCACCATAATTATAGTAGAAACAAATTTGTTCTTCTGAGGAGCTGATAAGATTTCTATTATTACTTTGAGAGCTGATTTGAATATCATAGTTCTAACCTGTTACTGTTGTGTTTTATTTATAACCCTGTATGGTTTTTTGCCAATAATTATTAGTCCAGGTTAACTATTCAGGACATCACATATGCAACTTGTGAAAATGAATTGCAGAGTCAGGGTTCTTCAGACATCACTTTTATTTGTTGAAAACGACTTTACATAAATAACTTCATAAATGTATAATCTCTCAATTCACATTTGATGAAATTTGGAACAAAAATTCAACATTTCTCTCTATAAATCCATAGACTTTCTCAAGAAATATAATTATGTCATATCACTCATAAATCTACATACGTCCACACTCATAAATTTACTTTTCTTAACTGCATAATTTAACATGCTTTCAACGTGGCTGCCGATATAGCTCATTAATAATTAATTATTCATATTAATACGTCTCATGGATTGAGTCTTTTGTGAGTTTTATTCATTAATAAACAAACATATGATGTTACAGTGTGTTGTGTTTGTGTGGTAAGACAATATTACAATACAACTTTGCTGAATTTGGACCGTTATGATATTCATAATGCTACTTCCTGTTTTTAGTATAATAATAATTTTAATAAAATAACACAAATTTAATCATTTAAAATAAAATATATTCCTCAAAGCAATTAAAATTGACTTAAATACATTTCTAACAAAGATTTTTAATAGTAATTTTTGTCAAATTCAAAAATAATATTAAATATGAAGTTTAATATTATTTTCCACTTTAACTTTAAATATCAGATTTTATCAACTTGAAATCCTTGAAATTTTTAATCAATTATTTTAAACAAAAAATTGGTGGGGAATGAAAACCATGTTTCACATACCCAGTATAGCTTTACAATACTAATAAATGTGGTAAAAACATACACTGCCTAAACTATTTTTTAAAAACATTTTCAGCAGCAAGCACAAAGTTAAAAACAATAAAATAACAATATTTGCATAAGTTATTTCTATAACTATAATCAACATCCCCTCCCTAAATTAATTTCCATTAAATGACAAAAAAACTACACAATATCACAGATGGTCACTTTATAGTGGTAAGCTTATGCGAAAATAATGTTACAATAAGTTACATTAATGAAAATAAATAACTGGAAATAAAAAAATTATGTTTATTCTGACTTTTCTAGCAGCACCAAATCTAACTATTATTTTAAAAATTATTAAAATATATCTTTGCAATTTGCTACATTCCCCATGATTTGAGATCAGAATGAGTTCAATAAATTATGCATTGTATCAAAAAGAAATTAAATTTTAGACAATGACTCTCAGGGACTCGTAAAACTAAAACTTTTTCTAGTGCCATGGACCCTATTTGCAATCTGCTAAACATTTTATCTGATTTTAATGCATATTTTTCAAGAATAAAAAAAAATGTACCTATGGAACTCGGATCAACAGCTTCTAATCTAAATGGCAAATATAGCCATACTAAATGGGGATATCCCTGAATTTATCCAATGTAATTTGTATGTGTGCTTGTTAGGAAAGTGTTGTTTTTTTAAAATCAAATGGAACAATTTTTAAATTAATTTTCACAGACATTAAAAGTGTACATTAACTTAATTCGATAGTAGCAGAAATAAAAAAGGGCAGGCTATGCTGGACAGGACACATAGAGGGAATGCCAAACAACAAAGGAGTGAAGAGGGTGCATCACCAAAACCCCAGAGGAAAACGGCTCAAAGGTAGACCAAGGCTTAGATGGATGAATGATATGGAAAAAGACCTACAACAACTGGGAATACAAGCATGGAACAGAAAAGCATTGGTTAGGTCTGAGTGGAAGAAAGTAGTGAAGCAGGCCAAAGCCCTACATGTGCTGTAGCATCACAGGGATGGATGGATGGATTAACTTAATTCAAAATAAAATCTAAAACGATTTAAGCAATAATCAAGTTTAAAGCATTTTGAAGAAAATCAATACCGGTACATAAAAAAAAAATTAAGACTGTCTAAAAGAGTCCAAGATTGTTTTAGCTATAACCTGCCAAACTGAAAATCCTGTACTATGAACTTTATCAGTTATCATCTTTAGTACATGTGATTTAATATCCTCCTTTGCATTTGATAATCTTAAAAAGCACTGAAAGTGGTGTGCCAAATCTACAACATCATGACCATATGAAGATCTGTAAGAAAAAATTGTACAAATTAATTAATCTACCTTGAAACCAAACATTTTAAATTTTAGCATAAATAACTACCATATTTACTTGGTTACCTTGTTCAACCAAATAAACAAAATGTATATAATTACATGTTCAGTATATAGATTAGAAAATACAGGCCTTTTCAACTTTGACATCTGAGACAGTACAGAAAGTTAAATAAAAATATAAAAGGCCTTTTAGTTTTAGTTAAGACTTAATATTTTTAGTAATATAAAAGGTCACATTTTTATTGATTTTTGCTTTGATTGGTGAATTTTAATGTAAATTTGTTTATGCCAGTGATGAAAGCCTACCTCCATGTGCAATTACATTTATCTTGAATCACAGGAGTGAAGCAGTCTGCCCAAGATACCAATGAGTTTAAATAAAGCTTGAAAAAATGTTCATTACCAATGGCAGCTCTACACAGTATTTCAGTTTTTAAGTTCCAAAGTGAACTGCAAAACAAAAGCAAAAATCTTGTATTTTTCTTTAAATTACTAAAACAAATGATTTAGCCTTCAACAAACAAACAAAATTGAACAGGAGCTTATCCTATTCCTTGTTAGACTGAAGTATAAACCCAAAATAACTAAAAACATAAATGATACAAAATACTGGTTCTAAAGACTTCTATGACCTGTATTTATACTTAATATCACAATTCCTTATTAAGGAGACAAAGTTTTAAAAATTGAAAAACTGTCGATGCTATGATGATTATTCATCAAAACTTTCAATATGACTGGCAGACTTACTAGGTCATTCAAGAAATTAATTTGAGGTACTTGGAGCAGGTTGTTAATAGTTTTTAATCTTTAAACATTTTTTCTCACCTTTGTTCAACATCCTGCTCTATCTTTTGTTGCAGACAGTCAGCAGCATAGGTTAGTAATTGAGGCAACTTAACCTCAATTTCCTGAGATACATCTTTAACTTCGACACAAAATAAGTAGACAAGTATTGCCTGTAAGCATTAGGTTTAAATAGAAGTCTGTTGACAGTAATAATTTAAGAATTATTACTGGTACATCACAAGCTCTATTAAATTTTCACTCACAAATAAAAAAATTAATGGTAAGAAGTACTGGAAAAGCTGGATAAATTTTCTTAAGATTATTTATGAAAAATAGCTTTGATATATAATTTTGGAAATATTAGTTGTTTTTTCTTAATTCCAGTGTCTAAATTTTGGGTATCATACAAAAATAGCCAATCAACTGTTAATTTCAGTTTTGCTTTCTTCATTAAAGTGAAGGATAGATCTATGTTGAAAATGTGACAATGGTGGGTGGGGGCTTGTTTTGTTTTTAATAAGTTTACAAATTTCATATACTCGTGAGGAGATACTGAACAGGATACTTCTGAGGGAAACTCAAGACCCACAACCAATGGGCACACTATACAACCAACCACTTCAGTATCTTGCATATGCTGATGACATAGCACTGCTAGGGAAAAGTATTAAAGACATCAAAATCCTTTATTGAATTAGAAGACGCATCACTACAAGCAGGGCTGGAAGTTAACAACCAAAAGACAAAATACATGACCATGATAAGAGAAGAACAAACAGATGAAGCAATTAAAATTAGAAACCAGACTTTTGAATAAGTAAATCAATTCAAATATCTAGGATCTTCATTAAATGAAAGAAATTAATTACTAACAGAAATAAAAGAAAGAATATCAGCCGGAAACAAGGCATACTTCAGTAGTCAGAAAATACTCAAAAGTAAAAACATTACAAGAGAAACAAAGAAAACTATTTATAAAAATGTAATCAGACCAGTTTTAACATATGCAAGTGAAACTTGGACCCTAACAAAAACGGCAGAAAACCTATTAAATACATGGGAGAGGAAAGTTCTCATAAAAATATATGGACCAACAAAGGATGAATATGGATGGAGAATACGAACCAACCATGAATTGTACAGTCTATCTCAGGATCCCACGATAGTAGCAGAAATAAAAAGGGGCAGGCTACGCTGGACAGAACACTTAGAGAGAATGCCAAATGACAGAGGAACAAAGAGGGGGCATCACCAATACCCCAGAGAAAAAAGGCTCAAAGGCAGCCCATGACTTAGATGGATGGATGATGTGGAAAAAGATCTTCAACTGAAAATCCAAGCATGGAAAAGAAAAGCATTAGTTAGGCCTGAGTGACTTGACACCCCCCCCCCCCCCCCCCCCAAACATAAAATTTACCGAACTTAAATACTTAAATTAATGAATATTTTGGGAAAATGTACAACAATATAAAGAGCATGTATTTACAAAGATTTTTTTTAGAAATTCCAATTATTTACAGCCAAAATTCTAAATGAAATAATAACTGTTCAAAAACATTCTATTGAATCACTGTATTAAAAAATGTAATAAACAAATAATCCACCATTCTTCAATCAACAGAAAATTCGGACTGCAGCCATTCAAAGATGTTTCGTATATTGACAACATCTGTTCTTGAGTCTTCAATTGCTAATTCAATTTGAGTGGCAGTCTCTTCGTCTGCCGTATTATGTTCACTATCAGGAACATTGCAATGGACGACCTTATGTTTTTTCATTGCCGCCTGTGATGGGAAATATTTACCGCAGAAACATATCCTCTTGGAAATTCTCCCAGCCACCGATGGACAATAGAGATCAAAAGGCAAGCTACTGAAACTGTGATCGTGCAGTAAATTTGCAGTAAATTTATGCAAAACTTCTGCACTTAAAAAAACATTACAATGTGGACATCCACTTTGTCCTAAACCCCCTCCCCCCCTTTGTCCACTTTAGTCCACTTTATGCTGAACCCCCCCTCCCCCTTTTGTGTGGACGTCTTTTATGGATGACCCCTTTACAGTGGTCCCTAATCTATTGTGGGGGTTAGGTTCCAGAACCTTCCCCTGCCATAGGTGAAAATTTACAAAGTAGCGACCTCAGATTTAATGTATTATTATATAAATTTTAAGACTTTATAAACCCTCCCCACACTCTTATAAATCTTTACACCACTGTTATAAGCTCCCTTAGAAGGTGCAGAATATTTGGGAGACATCTTAGGGTTTGAAATAAATTCAATTTTGTAAAATAAAATCACAAAAACTCAACACCACAGAGCAAAACTATGCATAGCAATCAGTAGTTGAGGAAAAGGCAAGATGCTGAATGCATGCTAAATGGAGGAGACAAAGGAGACTGACGCTATGGTCACTGAGCCAATAAGCCCCCAGGATACATAACACAGTGCTCTGGTTGGTCATCTCCCATCCATCAGCCGATAGTGTGCCATAGTTGCATTTTTCGTAGGTGCCAGTCTTTGTCTACTGATCTGCTGTACGCAATGTATTTTATTTAAATTTAATATTCTTTTAATAAGTTTTAATTAATTTTTTTTTTCATTGTTGTAATTGTTTAGGCTAAAAAAGCTTATTTTAACACAAAAATAATTTTAAATTACAGAGATAAGAATAACGATATACTGCACAATTAAATATAGACAATTTAAAAATCCATGAAAAGTGAAACTATCATTGACGAGGGATCACTGTATACCACTTTGCACTGATTTAATAGTGTATCCACAGAAGTTGCAAAACAAACTACAACTTACCAGTCCTTTTTGAGATTCTGCCAATTTATCATAGACGGCTTGGCAATATTTTTTAAATCTGAAAGTATTTAAATTTTGAGTAGCCTTAAGGAAAATTTAAAAGAAAAATATTTTATTCAGAGTCATTAGGCAGGTGTTTCCAAATAGGTTTCATTAAAACAACAATAATGTATTATATTATAAAAGAAAATAACAAATATTGTGTTTTCCACTTGAGTTTGAAAAAGATAATTTTCACCCATAACTGTTTTTAAAAGTTTTTCTTAAGAATTTTAAGAACTATACAGTTATATCATTTGCATTATCAAAGTAAATATATATTGAAATCTAAAAACATTGATAGTTTTGTCCTTTTTACCAGAAATATTTTACTAGTCAATTTTGATCAAAATTTGCAGATCCATGCAAAAAAATTTCCATAAAAATTCCATTTTAGTACATATTCATTCATAGTGACTTTAGTTCTTGTATTTGAGATGATAAGGTCATTAATACCAGTGCAATTTTACTTTCATTATTTATAAATACATAGGTCAGAAAAAATACATTTTGATGCATACAAATTAAATGCTCACAAAATCTGAATGCCATACCATTTTTGAAATCAAAGTTTTTTAAATTCCTTTTTTTTAAAGTGAATGTATGTGTTTTCAACAGCGCAACATATGCTTAAGAAGTTGCAGAAGGTCACAAATATACTAATTTGATGAAAATATGAAACACTTGATTAAAATTCCATATTTCCTTGCTGAGTAAAACATAAAACCAAAATATTTATTCTTTTTAAATTATTTTTAAAAATACAAATTCATACTAACCAAAGTCAGGATTTTTCTTTTTTTAAATAAAAATTAAGAAGATTATTAAAAATAATAAATTGTTTAAATATTTTTAAAAAAATATATCTACAACTTCTTGAGCACATTCCATGAACTTTATCAATGCACCTAAAAAATAATAGTCAGTTATCTTTATAAAGCATATTTATTTGTGTCAGTCTTAAAAAACGTACTTATATTTATATTAATTGCAAGTATCCATTAAATTTAAATGTGTATTTCATGAAATATGCACTAACACATATACTTGCAAAATCTTTTTTTTTTTTTAATTAATATTTCATGCATGGACAATATGTAATAAATATATATCGATCTACAGGTACGATCATGATTGTGACTCATTAAAATTAAAGAGTCTAATTTCCTAAAATAAAATGTAAATATTATAATTCATATCTTTTTAATTAGTCTCTATATCTTTTTTTTTTAACTGACAACCTTAAAAATAATGTAATTTTCATCTTAAATTTCCTCACAACTCTTCTAAACCCTACCGTTGCACTTTAGTGGCAGCATGTGCAGTTTTAGCCAAATGATGTAAAAGAGCCTTGGCTTGATAACTTGATTCATGTTCAATTATTTTGTCGTTGGCCGTCTTATCTTCTTGTTGGATGCAAATAAAACTCACAAGATCCTGGTAAATCTTGAAGCATGTCTCTTTTTGAAGCTAAATTTTAAAAAACTCATGTAATTGGTAAAACTTGACCTAAATATTTATTTTAAAATGAGTCAGTATTTTACAAAATAAATTTCCTTAAAAAAAATATGGGAAGCTTTTATTTAAAAAAACTTTATAAATGAAAAAATAATGGCTTATACCTTATTGTAGTAAACTGCAGATATACGAAACTTGCAAAGAAAACCATACAATTTTAAATGTTAAAAAAACTAACCTGTTGGATGATTATAGGACCATCAGCTTTAGCTTTAATTAAATTCTGTAATATTTCTTGGGATGTGCTAGGGAATTTGGGATTGGTCATTAGAGTCTGAAATAAAAGAATCACTATCAATTTAAAATAAAAGCATACTGGTATTAATAGCATTCAATCATTTATTATATATATTTCTTAGGGGTTAAAACTTTAGACTTTTTTTTTTAAATAATGAAGTTAAATTTCAAAATACCAAATATTCTCATTTAAGAAAAGTAAATGTAATTATTTATTCCAAAACTTACCTCAGCAAGTAAATATTTAGCATTTCCAAGACACTCTACAGAAAACCTTAAACAAGACACTGGTTCCAGAAACATTGTCATCTCTTCTAGCTGTCTGTTTACACCTGCTTCATATTCCATGCCTTTCACTTGTCTATATATCTAAAGCATAAAATAAAATACTAAAATCATCTATAAAAAGCTGTTTAATTAACTGTGAATCATATAATTGTATCCCTCATTATTCAGATCCAGTGGCCATAAGGACATGAGACCTTCCGCCATAGATAATTTTATCATTAAAAACTATAGAAAAATGATTAAGTTAATTGCTTTATTTCTTTCTCTCCCACTTGCTCTGTATTTTTACTGTAGGTTTTTTTTAAAATGAGTATTTAGTTGATGGTAAATATTCCCACAATTTTTATTCTCAAATTCAAACCTTAAAAAATCTTTAACAGCACTTAAAATAAACATTGTAACATTTTTCTTAGCTTATGAATACATTTAAATTCTGTATTGTCAATATTCCCTATAAAATATTCATATTTAATAAAATTTCATTATTTCTAAACTTGTTACTTTTCAAATCTTATATAATGGATTCAATTATCTGCACATCAGATTAAGTGGCTCTACAGTTTATTTGGGGCCAGTAATAAATCATAAGATTGAATGTACCTCATTAAAAAAAGTTAGAAAAGAGCATTTACGTTGTAGCCAGATTTTTAAAAAAACAACAGGTTACCTCTTGACAGTAATCAGCCCAATTGAGAGCATTTTGTAAAGATTTAGTATTCCAGTGACATACATTTTCTCCTGATGCATCATTTAAAACTTTGGCAAACTGAAAGATGTTTTTTATTATTGTCTCAGCAGACATGTGTAAATTTGAAAGCTCATTCCTTCCTTTGTGAAATTATGGGTAGTTTATTCTGTACTGTTAAATCTGTAGAGGCCAAAACTAAAAAGTATGCCTATATAATAATTATTTGTATAAATAATTTATATGTCCAAATTGATAGTCCACCGCCTGTATGATTAATAAACTGAGGTCAACCTCTTTTACTTCATGCAATGTCTATGTGTTTAGTCTTGTTTTTTTTTAACTTAGTCTTAGATTTAAGTCTACCTTAAAAATCTAAAAAAAAACTATTTGATAATAAAATAAAATGAGTAAAACAGAGTAGGGTTAAACCTGAAAAAATAAACGCAACAAAACAGCAAACGTGTCGGCAGAAAGCCTTCTTCAGCGAACAAAACAACAGAAAAAACAGTATAAAAATAAAAATAAGAAATAGCACTTAGCTGGTAAGTAGTATCTGTGGGCAGCAATAGAAATGTGGCAGAAGGAAAGAGAGTGAGAGTTTACATATATGCAGCGGCGAAAAAAATGGGGAGAAAAAAGTTTACTGTGATAGGTCAGAACGTGGAGGGGCGGAGTTAGGGTCAAGCTGTGACTGTGACTATGAACAGAGACATAACATTAATCCCATCTGGCGTCAAAGTGCCGTAAGTCAGGATAAGTCTGTGTTCCAAATTGACCCGGCTGGCGGTGTTCGTGCTAGCCACAATCGCACTTATTGAAAAGTCCGCCTTGCCCTGGTGGTCACCACTATTGAAGTGTTTGGAGACGGGACACTGTTTACCTTGTATAATGTTTCAAAAATAATTCAATTGACCTGCTGCTGATTTTTGGCCCTTTTGACTAATGAGTTTGCTGACCACTGACCTAGGTAGTCTGTCGGTATCTGAGTAAGAGTAAGACTCATTACTCTACTAACTTTGTCTTAGTAAGAGTAAGTTTCAGTAAGTGAGTTTAGTGAGATTATTATTACTATGACTCAAAGTCAAAGATGAGTCATGAGAATTAAAACTAAGTCTAAGTTGTAATATTAGGTAGTTTAAATTAAGACTAAGTTAACTAATTTCACTAAGTAAGACTAGACTAGAGAGGACAAGGACTAGAGTCTAGAGTCAGTCGAGTTAATTCAGTCAATTAAGTAGACTGAGACTACTCTCACTCTCTCACTGACTACTGAGAGAGTGAGAGTCTAGCTAAAACTAAAATAATAATAATAATATTATAAACAAATAAGTATAAGTTATAAGTGAGACAAGAAAAATACTAGTATGACATGAGAGTTTCGATACAAGCGACAAACTATTTAAATTTATGAGAAAAATATTAATGAGCCTTATGATTCTAACTTAAGTCTTATAAATTAGACTAAATGATAAATGAATCTGTCTTTTTCAACACTAGGTTATAGGTTGGACTATATTCATTTTGCAGCAATGATTTATTTCATGAAGTACTTTGTACTTACCGCTATTGACATTTGCCAAGTAGTACCCAGTTGGCTAAATTATTTTCTACTTTCATTTTCCGTAGGCACAAGAGTAATCGGTTGAACGCATAGTTTTGTCTACGGTTCACGTTTATGCGAAAATCTGGCGTACAATTGAAAATGCAAAGGGCAAACACGTTAGTAAGGCTTTCTCCGGCCTTAAATAATTGCCTGACAAGAAATAGTATATTTTATAAAGCTCGTAAGTTTTAAAAGAGTGAAAATGTATAATTTAAAAATGAGATTGGTTTGTTTTTCTCAACACCGCATGCTTACACAAACAGGGAACTCCGGTTACCTTGCACTTGCCTTGGAAGTTGCACTTGCATCACTCTAACTCTAATAATCTAATACTAATACTCTCATCACAATCGGTGACATTCAAATCACCATTCACTGACAATTACTGAAAGTATTGTGGCATAATCGTGGGTACCCGGCATTGTCACTTTGGCCATAAAGTTTAGTTAAAAATAAAAGTGGGTACTTTTGACGCGATATCTATGATTTTGTTAGATGTTACTCTAGACTGAACAGCCAGTGAATTAATAATAACATATAAATTTAAAAACATTTACATTGGTCAGGTACTTCAACTTCACTGACTTCAGTAAAAAGAGCAAAGTTCAAAGAAAAAAATTTAACCAGAATCAACTTTCTTGAGTCCTTTTTTTTTTTTTGACCTAGAAATTTTTAAATTTCAAGTTTGTTTGGTATTTTTTATTACTACACCTCTCTTCACTGACTTCAGTAAAAAGAGCAAAGTTCAAAGAAAAAAATTTAACCAGAATCAACTTTCTTGAGTCCTTTTTTTTTTTTTTGACCTAGAAATTTTTAAAGTTCAAGTTTGTTTGGTATTTTTTACTACTACACCTCCACATTTTGTGACCTTTAATAAAATATATTATTCTGCTGATACTGATCATGTTGTGCGCAATTCTTGTTTTAATGATAATTTTATACAACTTTTATTTTCAGAATAATGCTGTATTAAAAAGGGATTTTGATTGCTATTATAAATAAATTATAACTTATTAGTAACTTATCTAACTAATCACCACTATGACTATGCTTATCAGTATCAGTTATAATTTAATAAAATCTATTAATATATGCCATGGCTTTTCTGTTTACCAATAATTTATGTAAAAGGTCTAAACTGGAAAAAATAAGGCCTTTTGTTAGAGGAACAGCTCAAATTTCTCTTTCAACTCCCAAATGTCATTATCAAATAAATTTGTCATAATTTATAAAATATTGTAAACATATTTTTTTAATGTTGAAAGTTAAAATGTAGACAATTAACCTCCAAACATTAAATAGATATAATAATGAACATGGATAATGATTTTAATAGATATAATGATGAACATGAATGATGAGTAAACTCCACCACATTTAATTAATTTATAACACTCTCCAAAATTCATCTTCAGCAATATGTGCCTCACTACTCCTTCAGTCAAGAAGTACTGGAAGTCACGGCCCCCCTGCTCATTGGAAGACATTAAAACAGATATCTTTAGAAACAAAAAGCCACATGGATTTTTTACCTGTACCTGAAGGAAGTTGGCAAGAAAGTTACAGTAAGAAACAGAAGAAAGCAAACCTCTTATTGGCAGCAAGTGCCTTGGCATTTGGTCTTACATATTATATTGTGAGTTGGAACTAAAGAAATTCTTTTTCAAAATTTAAGTGTTTTAACCTTTTTTAATGGATCTCTCTTGATAATTACTGTTCTATAAGATTAAACATAATGTGATGAAATATAAATTAAACGCACCCAAAAACTAAAGGAAGATAATATTTTTCATGAATAAAATTAAATAAGTTCTCTAATAAATTTTAATTACACCAACTTATTTTTTTTAAAACATTGTTGAAATTAATCTTTAAATTCCTTTTAGGTGTATAAATCAGGGTGCATATACTTACATGGTTATGATTACAAGACTTTTAAAACCAGTGCTGGGCTTTCTGGACCAGGTGTTGTGGCATCATTTAGTTCAGGTACTTTAATTAAACATACAGGAGGTCATTACAATGGTTTTTAGATTAGATATATTTTATTTTTTATTGCATCACAAAGTATGTCATGATTTATTTTAGTCTGCTTTGGCCCTGTATGGTCAAATGTCACCCACATTATTACATATTGTACATTTTTGTTGGATTTCTATCTTTTATTTTGTTTTCCTATTTAGTTAAAATTAAGAAAACTATCAATTGTCTTTACTATTTCTTTTCAGACATATTCATAATAATCCTCTATAATAATAATTATTCATCTATTTCAGCTTTTTCACTAAGTATGATTGTTTAAAATGTGCCAAAGAAAATCTCATGTCAACATTTTTCATTTCTAAAACTAGATGGACTTTAAAAAGTTTAATTTTAACATCAAGCATGATTCATTTTTAAAGAGGCTAATATAAAATCTGTTTAAATTCTGATTTCTGCTTCTGATAATTGGTTTGCCAAAATAAAACATTAACTATTAACATTCGTAATTCAAACTTTAACAATTTGTCAGATCATCATTATTTATCTTTTCTACAATATTTATATAAAATTTGAACCAATATCGTAACATTTTTTCAGAGCATCATATTTAGTGTTTAAAATAAATTCTTTCTTGAAGTCAATTAATACAAATACAGTCATTTTGATATGTGTAAAAACTCAGTAAAAATGTTAGCAAATTACTGGATAATAAATGAAATTTATTGATGACTGTTTTGTTCTTGGGCACTTAACTATTTTTCACAATTAAATTCTTTTTAGTTTGTTTTGAAGTTCATTTAATCATTTTGTTCCAATGTTAGAAAACGTAATTAATTATTAGGTTCATAATATTTTTTTTGAATTTACAGACCATACAATTTGTCAAGGCTAAATTGTTCCATGATGAAAATATTTAGAAACTTAATTATTGCTTTTTTTTTTTTTTTTTTTTTTTTTTATTTTTAAAATAATTTTTTTTTTTTTTTTTTTTTTTTTTTTATTCTATTTTTTTTGTTTAAATTTTTTTTTTTTTAATTTTTTTTTAAATTTAATTTTTTTTTTTTTTTTTTTTTTTTACTTTTTAATGTTAAAATAATTTTTTCAAAATCATATCATTTACATTAATGATTAGTTTGAAATAATTGTGGTGCTCCTTTCTTTGACAAATTTTCTTGGTATTATAAATTTACAGAAGCTGCCTCAAAAAAAGAATGTGATACATCTAAAACATCACCACCTGCTCCAGCTCAAGCAGACAGTGGTGAAAGCAATGTTAGTCCAGGGGGTAATCCACAAGTAGATGATTTGAGTAAGATTCCTGATATTCCAGATCATGTGCAGTATTTGATAATTGGTGCAGGAACTGCTGCATTTGGTGCATTCCGTGCTATTAAGTCTAGGGATCCAAGAGCTAAGGTAAAGCCAATACCATATACATAACTGCTAACTGCGTCATTAAAAAAAAATCTAATTAGAGAGGGAGGCAGCCTTTTTAGAGAATCTGATACCCGGTATCTATATTTGTTTT